GCTGTTTTGAGAGTCAGAAAGATGTGAAAGGTTGACAAACCAACTTGCCAAATACTCTACACTTTGCCACAACCCTCATAAGAAGCTGATGTTTGATGTTGTGATGCCAGCTTTCCTTGCCACTTCTGGAAAAATCCGTGTCGGCAAATTTTACCTCATGAAATGCAACCTGGCGTTTAAGGGAGGACCTTCAGGGACTGGCAGGGCAGTTCCAGGGGTGAAGACCTAAGCGGGGATGATTAATAATGGTTTTATTAATAATAAACTGTGTTTTGCTGGGTGGGCCAGGTGAATTTGCCTCCTAGGTCTTCAATTTGTTGACCATGTATTGAGTTAAAGGGGATCTCCCGAACTTACTGTCTGGTGTCACGTAATCACAAGCATGTAGCGTACTCCTCTGGTAAACTTCCTGAGCTCTTGAGAGCAATGAAAGTCCCCTGAACGTCCTCTTTTAAGTTTTTCATCGTTGTCCTTACTAATTTCCATCCCGCCTGTACCCCAGCCAGCTGTGAGCACCACTGTTCAGTCTGAGTTCACCTATCTTAGTGAGGAGCGACCCTTATGTTGCATGGTACTTCAGAAATGGCCTAATAAGTAGGGTCTGACAGAGCAGTGCTGAACGTCTCTTTGGTAGCACTTGGCACTTCTATCACCCTCATCTCTGGTTTTCCATCATAAAAGCTATTTGCCTGTGGTTGTGTCACAGTCACCTCATGATCAGCACAGTTTTCTCCTCATTCCCAGTAGTTAAAATTCCTGGTTGCATACAGAAGTTTTATTAGTCTCCATGGGCACGACTTTCCCCTTTTTTTTCCCACTGAATTTCCCTGTCTGTTATCATCAGACCCATGCAATCTCTTCCATAGGTTACTCCAGTCCTCCTGTCTTGGCAGAGTTTCTCAGCCTCGAGCTGTCAGCCGCCGCGTTTCATCAGCGTGGTTTTACCTTTTGTGCGCGTGTTACTCATGCAAATACTGGGTCACGCTGGCTCAGGGCTTGCCCTTGACAATCCCCAGCGGTAACCTCCTGTCTCAGCTTTACTGCAGTCCTTGACACTGCTGAAATGCAAATGTCTTTAGCGTGTTCCTTGGGAATACTCCCGCGTGCTTCATATTTTGTCACTTTCAAATGTCAGTGTGCAGAAATAGTGCCATATCCTGGATGCAGCAGGTTTAATAATATTTATGTTTTAAATACATCTATAGTATCAATTATAAGGGTATTCAGTGCAAGAGTGTCTACAAAACTGTCTTATAAATATCCCTAGCAGTGAAATAAAATACTTGCACAGTGATTTGTGTAATCCTGATCACCATTAGTGATGTGACAGCTTTTAGTCCGTGTTCTTCTATCAAGCAGGTGTGTTAACAATCTCCTGAATTTGGCCAGCTGCAGCAGGGCCAGAAGCACGTGCGATCTAGTTTTGAAAACTGCCGAGCATGCTTCTGTCTCACCACAAATGACACTGCTTGGCCATTTCTTTGCATAGTTAAGCCAACACCTGCATCCACATTGCTTGAATTGTGTTTGCATACCTTGAACTAATGGTTCTTTCCCTAAGCTTGGGGGTTTTCTTCAGATGAAAGTGTTGCAGGCTTTTATTTTTGACAAAGGGCGGGTGAGGTTTTCTGTTTCAGCATTCTTGTTTAGGTGTCTTGACTTCCCTGATTCATCTTAAGATTCAAAGCCAGTGCAGTATCACCAAATTGTATCGCTCAATTCCGATCGATCTGTGAAAGCTTTCTTAGGTCATTTTTTGTTTTCATTTAGTGAGGTATCTTACAGGAAATTTTTTGCTTAGTCAAGATATTTGTAAATTTAGGGACATGGGACTTTGAGAGGGAGAAAATTGGATCTTCTGGCAGTTACCGGGTGGTCATTACTGGTGATGTCCTTATGCTGCTAACATTGCTTTCTAAGGGCTTCAGTTGATGCTGTAGTGGGGTAATATAAGCACCAGAAAGTTTTTGGCAGCTCTTTAAAACAAGATTTCCCCTTTGTGGTATTACAGTTTGTATCAACTATGAATATAATATTTTTAGTGACATAGAGGGAAAGTAGTAGCAAGTGGATCTTTGCTAATTTCTTCATTTAGATTTCTTTCCTGTCCTATTTTGTTTCCTTCTTGCTATTTCATGCTTGTTAATAGTACTTGGGAGTTGTTTTCTGAATTTCTTCAGCGCAGAGGAAAGGCAATGTAGGCTTGGCGAGGCACTGTAGGCAAATCGAGTACTTCTGGCCTTCTGTTTCTGTCACAGAGGTTAAAGGAAAAAAGCAACTACCGACAAAATTAATGGTGGAGGTCATCTTCTCTTTAAACACTGAACAATGTTCACTTGACAATGTTAAACTTGACAATTCACTTGACAATGTTAAACACTGCCAAAAATCTGTACTTCTAGAGACAAAGCTGCTGTGTCCTCATAGGTACCTTGTGCTTAGGTTCGTCAGCGAAGTGTGTGGCTACACAGTGAATGGTCGCTGGTTGCATGTTGAAGTACTTACCTACAACTTGTTGTTTCATTAAAACAGATGATTTGTCACAGCTTGTCCACTATACCTTCACAAAGTCAGTGTTTCGACATTCTCCAGACTGGCATCTGTAAATATCTGGTAAGTAGTACTTTGTTTTCTGTGTTAATTTCCTTGTGAGAGATTCTGTAGTCTCAATAACCCTTAAGTATGTTTCTTCCATATTTTACACAATCTGTGTATGACTTCAGTATTCTGCAAAATTTTTCAACAAGATCAGTGGAGTTTTAAAATAATAATTTTTAATATCTAAACTTGTATTTTTTCTTTTCTTTTGATTTCTGAGCACTTCAACTTGTTTTCAAGCCAGGATAGCCATAAATGAAAGCTTTCTGGTTCTATGTTTTTGGTTTGTTTTGCTTATTTTATTTTTTTTTTAAGTGTGGAACCATTACCCCTTGTTCTGTCACTGCACTCCCTGATAACGTGATCTGACAAATGCCCACAGCCTGCTGAAAAATTACTGGTCCAGAGCTTCCATAGGAGCTGGCTTATCTGTCACCATTTTCTGGATTTTGTGGGTTGACTTAAATCATAGCCTCTTTGAAATGCACCAAGTGCATTATTATATTTATACTGCAAGTATTCAAAAGTGTGAACCCTTCGTTGCTCTTTGTAGCTTACCCCACGTGAGTAAGCATTCCAGTGGGATATATTCCAATCAAGAAGTACGAGCTACTTAAATATGACCTTTAAAAACAACAGCAAAACCCCCCTAAAAGAAACAGATGACCCTGTTGAGTGAACCAACTGTCTCTGCTTAAAACTGTGTATGTGCTGGTGAGCAAATTTGGCTACTTTAAAACTCCTTTAATTAATTTCTTGTTGAGGTAATCGATGCCCCACTAGTAATGTGTGTATTTTTTTAAAAAAAACATATTTTATCATGCCTATAAAATTCAAACTCAAGCCAATACTTTAAGAGCAGCAGAGCATCACCCGAGCTGTGGGCCCACGATGTTTCGTTAGCTTTCATTTAACCCCGATCACAATGCTCCCATTCCTGTCCAGCACATCAGATTTCTACGGAGACCAGCCCTGGTGGCCCCCAGTAGCTTTTCTGTCTGGAGAGTAAATCTGAATCTCCTTCTGCCTCAGTGACTGCTCGCTGCTGTTTGAAGACAGAGAAGGGATGCTCTGTCCCATGATATATGCTTAAAAGGAAAGACCTGTTTTGTCCAAAAGCTGCTTTTTGTCCGCACCATCCTTCAGAGGAAGGCTTAAAGCATTTTCTCTCTGAATACATATGAGATGAGTGATGTGTTTATTTCGGGGGATGGCACGAAGACACAGGTTTTCTTATGTGGTTACAGTTGCTGTTAGCTGCCTGTTTGTATTGATTTTTATTTGAAAGCTGGTGGTTTACAAGATTTGATTCTAGATTTTGGCCTCTTTCTAACTTGCAACATCATACACACAGAAACCAGTTCAGTTTTGAAAGGTCTGTGTGTTGCAGGGATCTGGAGAAACAGCGGGTGCTTCAAAGTTTTGCCTGGGCTGTTGTAGGAAAGCGAGTGACTCTATTTGGACTTCTGGGTGGAGGATTTTCAGTTTGGGGAATGAGAAAAAATCTCTGTAAAATATAACACAAGTCTTCTGGTAGCCCTTCTTTAACCGGGGTGACTGCTAAGGCTTAAATACTTCTAAACCTTATTTTGCTCTGGGTATCAATTTCTAAGCAAAATAGGAATTTTAAAAATGGAGCAGTATGTGTTTACTGTAATAGAAACAAAGTAATATTTGTTATAATAGGGAAGAATAGCAACATTTGGCATTAGATGTTTGTTTAACAGAAAAACTTGTGTATAAAGTGATGAACTCGGGGATTTTTGTTTTAATACAGGTTGGATTGGTTGTAATACCCGACAGCACAGCTGGGTCTGTTCTGTGTGCCATAAATAAGCTCTTGGATCAAGCTTGCATCCTAAGTGAAAATCTACACAAGTTCCTAGCCTCCTGTTGTTACAGTCTGCTGTACTTCCTGCTAACTTTAGACAAAGAGGATGCAGAACATGTACAGAAAAGGTAACGTTGCTTTTCTTACTCCGTTAATTGCCTCTGCCTTTATCACCTAAACATAACAAGTATTTAGAGATGTCAAATGAAAGGACAGCCCCCCTTGCTTACTACCAAATAGGACTGTGATGTAAGAAAAAAATCTGCAAACTGAGCTAGAATTATTTGAAACAACAACTGAAGAAGGTTTCATCTCAAAGCTTTTATTTCCAGTTGTTCTAGTTAGATGCCAGAACAATCCTAGTTGCAGAAAGGTAAATATTTATACCTTAATCTGTAGCTTTACCCTTTAGTTTCATTAGATGCATTGGAAAGCAACACGCAAAGAATTTGTCTTTATAAGCTTGTACTTGACGTGATGGTTCAGCTTTAACAAAACTTCTCAGAAGTCATTCTATAGACTGCAAATCCATTTGATTTAAAAAGGAGGAAAAATTAAAAAGCCACAGACGCCAGATTTCAGTAAGTTTATTTACCTGCGTAGCAGAAATGTCTTTTAACAGTTTAAACTTCAGAATTTTTCCTATAACCGTGCCACATACAAAAAAGTTGTCCAGAGTTGATTTTAGATGTGTTCTGAAAACCAGACTCCTCCTTCATTTACTGTATTTAATGACTTAAATAGTAGAAAAAGCTGATTGCATTACCTTCATATCGGGGGGCAGGAGGTTGACTCTTAGAGATTGAGGTGTATTTTAATTACAGATGAAGTCTTCCCTGCTGCATCAAGCAGAAATTACACTGTGGAGGAGCTTCAGCAACACTGGAAGCTCCAGGGCAGAACCTTAATTTTTTTTTCCCCAGTATTGTCCATCATCTTAGAATAGTTTAAGTTTAGCGTTTGTCTGTACTTTATTTAAAGTTTAAAACTTAAGTTTAGTGTTTGTCTGTACTATATCTTAGAATAGTACAAGTTTAGCGTTTGTCTGTACAAATTTTCTGCTTCAGCTCTAATTGAGGGTGTAATCCTGCCACGTGGTTTCCACGCAGAGGTACGTTTCCTTGTAGAAATACAAGGCATAGGTTACAGAAGTGTATTTGAAGTAATCTTCCCTCATCATTTCAATTTTTTGTTCCCTGTTCCTCTCAGGGATATGCTGTGGGGTTCGTGCATCTCTGCGTTAGCGCTCCTGCCACGATTACTGAGGGTGATGCTGCAAAGCCTCCAAGTGAGCAGGATCTGTCGGGAAGAGCTGCCTGTGGTCGCTCAGCTGCTTCGCTTGCTAATGCAGCACGGGCAGCTCAGGAGCCACATGATGACAAATGAATTTCTGGTGCAGCAGATTATCAAGGACATTATGGTAAGAAACCTCCTCTCGTCTCCCAGAGGCCACGAGGATAGACTTCATGTTTATGTTTGCAACTTAGTGCAAACCCCGCACTTGGTAAAACACAAGTGACAATTTTATTTGTCTTAGTAGTGCAGGCTGCTGCTTCTCCCAGCTCCTGTACTCACTGCACAGGGCAGGCAGGTTTGGTATTGAGCTTGATTCAGCCCAACAAAAGGCACTGAAAGGGGACGACCTGCCCAGCCTGGTTGATGCAGAGCTGTGCCAAAATAAGAAGCTACTTCTTTCTGTTTTGTTGGAGCAGGGGTATGTCTGTGTATAAAGACGTAATTAAATCAGACAAACTCCCTTAAATACATCTGGTTTTGTTTTTTTAACCACTTAGGAATGGTAAGGAGGTGAATTACTGGCCCGTGGTCTGGGTTGGTGTGTTGGTAGCAGCTCTGCTGCAGGCTTGGGCATTGAGCTCTCCCTCATTAGAACAGCCCTGCTCATTTGCATTTTGATGGACTACAAATGGCAGAATTGGAAAGTAAGCAAGCTGCTGCAATTAAAGAGTAAGGAAACGCATCTGATACAATTCACACACTTCCTAATGTAACACTGACTCAACGTACCAAATAATAACACTTAATCTGACATAATTAACAGGCACATCGTGTTTAAATGTGTACATGCATGTGGGTGAACGAGGCTCTCTCGTATCTTCAACAGAGCACCTGGTTAACTGTAGAAACAAAGTGAAGCTTTACTAATACTGCTGGTGAAACTGAGTTTTACCCTTTTATTTTCTTTTTCCCCTTCTTTCTAGACACTGAAGAGTGGCGAAGTCCAAGAGCAGTGGCTAACAGACCTCCATTACTGTTTCAACATCTACCTTGCCTCTCACCCCCAGGGACCTGGCCCTATGAACACGGTATATTAAAGAGGTGGAACTGCATTTATTGTAAAGCATTTACTTCTATTTAGTTTCGAATGGAAGATGTTGGAACAAAGCTTGTCCATTTTTTTTGTAAGTGAAACAATAAAAATTTTACAAAGAACTGCATGCTTGCTTCTAAGAGCTTTCTTTTCAAGCAAGTAAATGTAACTCCACTCAATTTCTTTTTGTGAAAGACCACAGGGAGGGGTCAGTTAAGGAATCTTCTTGAAGCTTAAGTTCTTGTAGAGAAACAGAGGCTTTTATCGACTCTAGTCAGCTATTATTTTTAAGCATTGCATTAATTAGAATAATTAGAATTATGTAACATCAGCTAGAAAAAAATAATATATTTTGAAATTTGAATAACTTATTTTTTGTGAATTCGTATTTTTAAAGGCTTTATGCAAAGTAAATACTGTACACTGGCAGCTCCAAAGCTAAAACTAACAAGTTTTCATCTAGAGCAGGCCCCTGTCCTTTCTTGCTTTCTGTAGAAACTCGTTTTATGCATATATAATAATACAGTTATTAACAAATAAATAATTGGGGATTATCTCAAAAGTAGAAAACGTACCTAGCAATTTCCATAGGCTGTGGAAAGACCTTTATGTACTGAGTGATTTTTTGTCACCATTTCTACTTGTCCTTCCAAAGCTGTAGGTAGCTGAGAATGGAGCACAAGGTCTGTACTTCATTTCCTGCTTAGGTTTTGGAATACATTTAATAAATTTGAGGTGAAATGGAACAGCAGTCTTTTAGCACTGTTACATCTCCAGCACAGTTTCAGTCCATTGAAACTGCATTTAACAAACGCATTCAAAATTCCTACTTTTGACAGTGGAAATGTTTGTGAACCGCTGCAACTGCCCTGCAATGCTAGGCTCAGCACTTAATTTTCTGTTTCCAAATGGCGTTCAGATTTCATCCTGTCAGTAAATAAATTAACAGTTGCATTTAAAAACTAATTTGTACACAAAGTGAAGTCCAGCTCCTTAGCAGTCTGCTTGGCATGTAATGCTGATATAATACAAAATTGAAGATGTGTTCGAGTTTAAAATGTAGATGATTTGCACGTTACAGAACAATCGCATTTATACCAGGATCTGTTCCTTGAATTCCCAGGTCCTGTTTTCCTTAGTGCTTCACTCTTGTACTTTTTGATTTTGCAGCAGTGGTCGGCCTCATGTTGTACGAAAACTGCTTGGATCTTCCCATGTTCTCCAGCAAATTAACGTACTGGAGGTTGTTTGCTGGAAAAGACCAAAATAGTTTTGATGAGTAACTCCAGCTGAGAAAAAAGTTTAAGCTGCACTGGGTTCTGCAGTTCACAAAGAACCTACGAGGAAACAAATGTGCCCTGTTCCTCACGTCTCACTGGTGATTTATCTGTAAAAAGAGTTCTTCCTCTGGCACTCAGTACAACCTAAACATGACAGTCTGTTTAATTTGGGCATAATAATGGAGCGTAATTTAGGATTTACCCTTATGAGAGTTTTGGGGCTGATGGTTCAGCCACTAATTAATGTTCCTGGCTGAGTTTGCTGAAGAGCAGCGAGAGATATTGTTTAGCAATATTCCTGTCCTCTAACGATAGGTGCTGGGTTGTTTCTGGAAGATAAGGGCAGCTAGTCCAAGGTTAAAGCAAGTGCTCCCTGAATTACTAGAAAGTAAAACAGAACAGCAGCTGCCCGTTCGCTGCAGTTTTGAGCCTGGCTTAACATCAGGGCTCACTCATTCAATGTTTTTATTTAGTGTAATGTGCTACAAGCAGTGTGTATTCTTTTCCCAGTTTTGTAGAGATTGGATGCAAACATTCCTTCTAATGCCAATAGTTCAAAAAAAAAGCCTCCCTTGTAGCTTCATGAACACTTCTGATATTGACAGTGAAACAGAAGAGGGGGCTTATCTTTCTGGCCTGCTGCAGAGAGCTTCTTTAGCTGTCATTTACTGAATTGACAAAAGGTATCTATATTTAAATATATATATATCATCAACTTCCATTTTCCAAATACTTTAACTGATAACACTCACAAAGGCATTATTTTCCCAATCCTCAAGAACAGTTTGTTGTTGTTTTTTTTAAACATCTACCCATTGTCTGTACATCCCATTACACACTCACTCCTTTTCTACCTGTCCTTCCTTCCTCTCTCCCCCTGCTCCTTACTTATTTGCGTATTTCCTTTCGCTACCTTCTGTGCCCACTCCGAAGCGTTTGCTCTGCTTATGCCAAGGAGTTCAATGAGTTTGGTGCCAGTCTCCTGTGAGAGATTTGTCACTGCGTGCTTCTTCCACGAGCTCTAGGAACATGAAAACTAGGGCTGATAGTCAGGCTTCACCTTCCCCGCCGCACCTCCTGCACGAGAGGACTCAAACTGAGCAGTCCACGCTGACCTACTCCAGGCACCTACGTCAGAAGTGGAGGATCTGGCATTAGCCACTGACAGCTCTGAACTTTTCCAACAAACGTAATGTTGTCATGCACGAAGGCAGCCAGATGAAAAACATGTTATTGTCTTTAAGCGAGGGCTAAAGTTCCCCCAGCTCCTATTAGGTGAATAAAAGTGGGTAGTGTTCTGCGGGAACTGGGCAGAGTTCCTATCACCGTCCTATTCGTCACCAAGTTATGAAAGTAAAGGACACGCAGGCCTCAGAAGAAAGCCTTTTTATAGCAGCAGACAGGGAGATCTGTTGTCCTGGGAAGCTACACGAAAAGAAGCATTATTTGCTAAAGCTCTCTTAACATTTAGATTGGGGGCTGTATGAAGAGGTGGCAATCAAACACCTGTCTGGTTGTGCCTCTTAATTAAAGCAGTTATTTCAAGCAGTGGAAGAAAAAAAAGCCTCGGTCTCATAGTGAGGCAGAGATGACAAACTGAGGGCTAGGTCTGCTGGTGGAGTGCCTTTTGACTTCAGTGTTTGGGGAAAATGGATTTCACTTTCCTGTTAAAGTATGCGAACTGCTGTCTCCCTTCAGCCATTTGCTTTTCCTACCGGTCTGCAGCCTGGCTCTGAACTACAGGAGATGCAAAGTTCTCAAAACAGGCATCTAACCAAAGGAATATTCCTCAGAGAGGCAACCGTGACTTCATTTTTAACTTACCTGTCAAACCACTGCACTGTGCAAAAAGCTTCCAGCCTCTACTGACCTCAATGCTATTTCTACGGGTTGTGCCCTTGGGTGCTATTCTATATGACGCGTTGTAGCCCCATCTCTGCTGGCATTGTCTTGACAGTCACCATCATGCCAACCCGCAAGTACTTGTTTAGAGCCCCTACTGCCCCGCTGCCCGTTCCACAGAGAAAATTTCGGTCACAAATACAACGGAGGCTCTCCCAAGGAAGACCTAGTAATGACTTCTTATGTGGTTCCTGTGCTAAGCAGCAGATACACGTGCTTTCTTTAACGCCTTAAAACTCTCTGCATATTAACAAATCTATGAAATAACTGAGGCCCTGTGCACAGGACAGGAACTCCACTGAGCCATTTCAGTAGCAAGGTTAGAGATTAGATGACTAACTTCAGATCTTCAAATTTTATCCATCAACTAAAGCATATATGTCTAAGAAACAGGTACGTAAATTCTTAGTCCATGCAGTTACCCACTACCTTTACTTCCATAGGGCTAGGAAATATTTGTGCTGATGAACCACCATTAGAGGCATCTGTAAGTGATTTTAACCTCAACTGAGTGGCTTATTACTGTACAAATCCATGATATTAAGCTCTGCCCTAGCCCAATCAAAACAGGCTTTCATATAAATGATTCAATACAAGGATAAAAGCACAGTGCTCAGCTAAGTCCAAAAGCAGTGACAGAACATACAATCACACCAGGTCGGTAGCAGCTACGTGTCTTGATGTGAGATACCAGCTCTTGAACAGATTTTTTTTCTTTTCTAAGATGATCCCAGTGACATATATATAAGTAAACAAACATTAAAGTCATTTGTTATGTTCCTGGTACTGTTAAAGTGTATACATCTTACCTGAGACCAGTGGCACCTCGGAAAGTTTCAGCTTAGAGGAAGGTCTTGCTGGCTGACATCCTTTGCCTTCCTGAGAACGTCCTGTAGTAAACAACAAGAACAGCTCTATGCTTATCCCTATAAAGACATGGTTATGAATAGCTATAAATTACATTATTTTCTCCTAACAAATACTCTTACTGATGACGAGGATGATCATGAGACGTTTCGTATGACAGCAAATTGTTACAACTTCAACAAAGCTTTGAGCAAACTTTGAAAACGTCTTAAAGCATATATATACATATACACACTACATATAGTATAGCATATAACAGAAGGAACATTAAGTGGTACCTTTATTTATTTATTTTTTTTGACCCTTTTTGGCTGTTTGAACTACAGAGCCATAACAGAAGTGACTTAGCACCTGTTATACAGCTAGCATGGCTCTTAGAGGAAACCATGTTAAATCACTGAGGTGGTTCTTAAAACCAGAAAGTTACAGAACTACCCACAGCACCTGAGACTCAAACTCATTGTTATAAATAAATAGTTTAAATCCCTAACAATTGGGTAAGAAGTGTATGAAAGAATTCAAAACGCAGGGAACACTTTGTTATAAGACAAAATTACCGTATATCTGCTTGAGGATGGACTGCTTGCTGGTTTTTATGGCTGAGCTGGTTTTGCTCACGGGTTTCAGAGTTTTACACGAAGGAGCTGACTTCAGAGGGCTGTGGTTCAGCTGTTTCTTCCAGGCAACCTGAAGGAGGAAGGCAGCTGCCTCTTGGCTCCATTTGTCTTCATCTTTGCACTGCCGCTTCGCGCCAAGAAGCCGGAACAACTCCTGTCGCAGGTGGTAACTAGAGGGCAGAAAAGAGAAGAGCGCTTGTTTGAGGTGACCTGCTTTAACTTCGGTGCTTTCCATGCATCAGCTCACGCGGGGGATTACACGAGGAACTGGGGAAGCTGCACTCCCACGGATGTGCCAAGTCGCTCAGATGAGAAATGTTTGCTCAGAGGAAAAAGTAGGAACTGGGTTCGGTTCTGGAGGCATCCCTTGCCTCACACAGCTAATAGGGACCTGGTGTTACGGGTATCAGAAAATCAGGAGGAGAGAAAACCTATAAATATTTATGATGTAGCACTATAAGCAATACTATTTTCTCATTTTCTCCGTATTCACAAAATAACATCACATTTTCGACTCCACTTGACCACATTGTTATTTTGGGTAAATCAATGCAAGGGAAGCCAAATCTACCTGCACATCTCTACAGAAATCTGTGCTGTTTCCATACGGTCTCCAAAGGTGCTCCCCCCTGCCCTGTTGGCAGCAATCTTCTGGCTTTCCTCCCCTTCCCCTCAGCACCTCCCCAGCCCCCAACCTCCTGCATGCGGTCACAGCCCCGTGCCAAGAGGTGACCGCAGATTATCCGTCTCTCCCCCTGAAGTGCCTGGTGGCCCCAGCAAACGAGGAGGGCCCTTCTTGTATTTCTTTTTTGGTCCTGAATCAGGTAGAAGCCTTCAATCGAATATTGGCGTTTCACACTCACAAAGTCAATTAACTGGCCTGGCAATTAACTCTGAATCTTCCCAGCGCAAAGCTGCCACAAACGAGCATTGAGCAACACTTGTAAAATATTAATTGTAAGTGTTTGGTACGCGGCCAGAACGCATTGATCGGCTTCCCCGCCGGCATCCAAAGCACCGCCTGAGCTCAGGACAGGAGCGTGAATGGGGGACAGAGGAAGAAACGCTTTTCTAGGGAGAAAAAGCAGAATGGGACCAAGTTTGGTGCACCGTGGGTCTGATCTGTGATGCCTTAGCAAAACACCCAGTACTTAGTCAGCACAGGTAAGGCACAGAAAAGAAAGGTAAGGTGTGCGTGGAGCAGGAACAGGCTGAAACCCCTCGACTCCAGCAGCAGCCCAGCTGTACCAGCAACCAAATCGCTCCCAGCTGCTGTCAGCTCCCTGCGGGCCGCAGGGAAGGGGACAGGCCCCAGTGCTCCTGAGGAGACAGCGAGGCAGACACGGGCTCCGCAAGCCTCAGCGAGCAGGAAGAGCACTTAACCTTTGGCAAGCCGCACACCTTGACGTGGGCTCTGTGGGACTGCATTTACGAGGCCTGCCGAGGCTGGGAATTGAGACATTTGAAACTTGAGCACATTTTTCTACGGTTCTGTCTGTCTCCAAGCGCAGGCTGTTCACCCGCACAAGCCTGGACTCGAAGCCGAACAGGTGAGACCCTCTGACTTGGGAGCCAGAGGAGGAGGAGCAAACGCAGCCTCCCTTGCAATCCTGCAGGATTTACGATACTCATTAATGTTCTGTACAATGTCTGAGTTTTGTAGGTGCTACAAATATATTTACTTGTCTTCATTGATTCTTTAAATGGCAGATTATTAAACAAGCCTAAATCCCCACGTTTTCCACAGTCTTTTAAGTAAGTGAGCAACCACCTGCTGCCAAGAGACCAGTCTGTGCATGAACCTTCACACACTTCCAGTCTAGGTAACACATCGCCATGGTTTTACAGGTGGGTATTTTGGAAGGATCTATCCAAAATCCTCAGATAGCCAAAAATTTAAATGGAATGGAGAGATTTCTGCAGAAGTAAGCTAGCTGGACACATGGCTTCAGATCCCAAGTCTTGTGAGGTAATTTGCACAAGCGCTCAGTGTGTATCTTCACACTGACTGGAAGCTGTATCAGGCACCTGCTGCTTTGTAAGGATTTTAATCTTCTGTTGACTGAAAACAGCATAACCTTCAGAAGAAATGGTACCACGCAGGGATGTGCTCCCCTAATCTAATCCTGACTTCCTTTGCTTTTTGGTATCCAAAAGGATCTGAAAGCAAAACAAGAATTCAGGTTCAGAAATAGAAGAGAAGTTAAAGGACAATTTAGAACATTTGGGAAAATTTGGGAAGGTAAAAAAAGTGAGAGCTTTGATTTGCAGACCTTTGTGCAGACCTATGTGCAGATGTCATAAAGAGCAAGCAGACACCAAAGATGAGAGAAGTACAGAAATACTGTGTACAGTGACACTGTATTAAAAAGTCAGAATTTTCACCCCTCAAAAAGGCTCAAAATGGATTAAAAATAACATGATCCCAAATGCTAACGTTCCCCTGGAATAGGGGTGTACTTCCAAAAGCCAACGTCACTTTTGGATGCCAACAACAGTGAAGAGATAAACCAGAATATTACAAGGCTGTAAACCCAACCTCGTGCTGGGAAATACTTCAGCTAATCAGTAAAAGAGCTGGAGCAAACAGAAGCATTTGTTTTGTTGAGCCAACGTGAATGTTTGAACGGCCACATTTCAGCTTAGGAACAAACGAAGCACCAGCTTGGACCACGGGGCACCTGTGCTGGTACCCATCTCACCTCCAGCAGTGGCCAGCATCAGCTGCCTCTGTGCAGGACGAAACCTCTCTGCACTTCCTAAGTTAACTGTAAAAAGTGATGGGTTCCCAAAACTCTGCAAGCAACAAGCTGGTGATGCTTGTCTCTTGGCTGCCTGGTGCCTTGTGCCATGGGGAACACGGGTGGCACTCCCCTTGCAAAATCAGGACCATAGGATTTTTTAAGCCTGGGAACAGCGCTGAACGCAGGCAGCACAACCTCGTGGTTACCACCTCGCAGAGCTACGAGGTATTACACCACCAGATCTCTGCTTTCCAGCATAGCAGGCTCACACAGCAGCAATTCAGAGCTGGTCTTTCAATTTTTGGTCACGGCCTTGCCATGAGACACGAGCAAGGCTGCCTCCATGAGCAAGGCTGCTAACAAACGTGAGAGCAGTGAGCGTGGGGCTGAGGCAGATCCCGATCAACGCTCTACTGAGAAATATCAACGCGTGAAATAGAAGTGTAATAACTCCTCCAATTATTAAAAGTCATCACTTACCTTGCACTTTTTATGAACTTGCTAATGCAATTCTAGGCATCTGGCACACGCTTCCACTGGTTTGGTGAAAGATTATTACATTCCTGATTTATCACTGGTAATGTTCCAAGCAAAAGGCCCAAATAAAACACATTGCTGACGCCTAATGTGATTTACATCTAATTGTGCCTCATCTCCAGCTACTGAAATAGCAGCCTTACCTTCTCCACGTCCTCTGTATAACCGTGGCAGCGTAGTTCTTCTTCCGAAACAGCTCTTTCCTTGTTCTTTCTTTCTCTATTATCTGCATTCGAATCTCCAAAGGGATTAGTTCAATATTTGTACTTTGCCATGCGACAGAACATAATTGATCATCTGCATTCCTGGATCCAATTATGCCTGTTTTTTCCAAGTTCAAACTGTCATCAGAGGCAGAACACGCTGCTGGATTTCTTGGCATGGTTCTGGTAGATTCTGTCTCAGCAGACAATAAAGGGGAGGGCTTTTTCGCTAATTCATTATTTCCCACATTGTTAGTTTGTTCTACGGCATGCACGCTGGCAGTTCTGCTGTTTACAAATACCGTTTTGGCACTCCCTGGTCTGCTAGAACCAGCTGGTGAGCATCTCTCATCGTTTACCTCTTTACTTCTGGATTTTTGCTGATGCCTTTTGCCCTTTGGAACAGCTTCACACTGCTTGGAACTTCTCGCAACTCCCCCAGCACAACTGACGCTGCACACGAACACAGAATTTCCTTCACTGTTGTCCCTGTTACCAGACGAAGACTGACTTTGATCCTGTAATTTCTCCCCAGCACTAGCAGTCCTACAAGCAGAAGCGTGCCTTCTGTTACCACGAGCAGAAGTACCATTTGCCTTGGTGGTGTGCTCTCTGTGCTTTTCTCCATCCACTTCCGTAGCAGCTGCAACCTGATGTTTGGCTTCAACTTTTGTCACCTCTTCTGCTTTGCCACAATGGAAATGGACACAACTTGGCTTGCTTCTGATGTGTTTTCTCGATAATTCTTTAAAACAGAGAAATGGAAATAAACGTTCAGCATTCAGTCTCTGATCCAGAGTTTATTACTCTATTTTTTTCTCAATTACTTAAATGGAAAAAAAAAAAAAGTATAAGCAGGAAGAATCAGAAGAGGTAACGATTGCTTGGAATAGCACAGTCCCAGACTTCGTCATTGCTTACCATTCTCCAAGTATCTCTCTTTTGCACACTAAATCTGAACTAGATGCCTAAAAAAGTTCACAGAGAAACACTGTTTCCTCACCTACCTGAATACGGTGTCTTTTCCAAAGAAACCAGCTCACCACATAGCAGAAGAATGCAGCCTTGTGAACACACCTGCTGATTGCAGCGAGGACACCCTAACAGACTGTCCTTGTTTCCAGCTTCTTTGCCAAATTTCTGCTCTATCCACCCTGCTCTACCCTGCCACACAATGTCAATGTAAGTTACTGATCCAGGAAACCCAAAGCAATGGTTCTGTCAATACCTTCCTTGATACCCTAAATAAAACTTCAAAGTTCTTCCCATTTTTCCCTTGTTGCAAGGTTTCTTTACAGAGCAGACAAAATGTGAGAGAGAAGCGGTTAAAGGATATGTAAAAGTGGAAAAAGCAAAGAAAGAAAGCTTTGATCAAAGAAAATCACTCAAGTTATCCAAATCCTGGTAAAACCATCCTGTATTTGACCTCACCGTAATACTTTTGTGATACTCTCTGGTTAGCAGAATATGGCAGATTAGCAGTCTATACAGAAGAAACTCAGGATTATCATCAATGATGTCTCTGACAGAGAAGATTTATCATGGTGACAAGTCAATATGGGCTGAGAGGCTACTCTAACTTGCACAGGATTGTCATATGGGTAAATAGTCCTGTCTGTTATAGGACAGGAAGAAAAAAAATCTATAATACAATCTATTTTAATTGAGTATTACTTTAATTAATTATTTTTCAAATCTATGATACTCTTTTTTCTCATCTTCCAGAATGCAGAAGGAAATTCCCTCTCTTTTATTACAACAGGGAATCTACAAATTTAGAAGTGCGCTACTACAATTTTAGAAAAATATGCCTTTTGATGCCCAGATTTCTGGGGCATAATTCCACTCCCAGTGAAGCCAAGTACAAAATTACCAGTGCCATCAATAAAAACAGCAAAGAGCTGATGTTCAGTTCACATGTATGAAATTTCTAGCACTGTCACAACAGCATTTTGATCTCTGAAACAGTTACTTTTTACAGAGTCTTTGAAAAAAGGGGCCTTGTCATTCTTAACTCACCAGGAGCTACTACCTGGTTTGTAAATATGGCGTGTAGAATGCTTTTTTATTTCAACCATAAAATATTTAACTTATTAGAGCAGCATGTGCAGAACAGTCTGAACAACTGGGGAAGAGACAGAAGAACATCACTGAAGTATTCTAGATCACCTTTTCACGTTGAAATAAACTCCCTTAGATAGCTGCAAAGAAGCAGCATCAAGAACAGTACTCAAAAAATAACTTACCTGCTACTAGAATTACTGCAACTCAACAGCTGCAATAACATACGTAGGAGATAATGTATATAGAAGATAATGAATATTGCATTTCGATATAGAAGAAGCAGATATGTTATTGTGCACATCAGTATTTCTGACTACCTAAGTTGACAGAGTACACGCAAACAGGAATCTGTATCCAACTCTGTCCCATATAAATTGCTTAAAAAATGAAAGAACAAGAAACGACAGAGTAAAACAGGTCCTACATATGAATTTCCCCAGACGTGGACAAAAAGGATAATCAAATAAAAATTATTACAAACCTTGCCTGATTTTATGACCATCGCTCTGAGGCTCTGAAGACGGGCACGTCTCCTTTGGTGTCCCTTTGTTGTGACAAGCTTTAGGCGAACCTCTACTGGTTCTTCCTGGTTGAATTTGGGAAGCGCTGAGAGAAAGAGGTCTCTTACTCTGTATATCAGTTTGTTTGTTAGGCAGTTGCAGGATGCTGGTAGTTTTCTCTCGATTCGCTGGATTCTGTTGTACTCGAAACTTGCTTTGTTCCACGCTCTGCGTTCCTTTCTGCAGCTTGGCTTCTTTTCTCTTACTTTCTTCTTCACGTTTCCTGTAATTACAGTAAATGCCATGAGAATTCCAAAGCCAAAATTTTGGGAGCATGTCTCTAACTTGAACACATTCGTCTCTAGAAACCTGACACTGACAAAACAAAATCTTGAATATGACATCTTTTCTGTGAGAAAGGGCAACCTATTACATTGAAGTGTCTTAGCTTGATCTAAAATAACAACTAACTTGCAGCTACAGCTTAATGAAGGTTAAGTCCTTAGAAGTCAGCTTCCCATTCACTTTGCAGCAGTTAAAACTGATTTTAAAACACTCCCTAATTTAAAACTATGTAACTTAGGCTTTTTTTTTTTAATGCAGATACAAAACTGAAAAACATAGTTTCTCTTTTCACTAGTTTTATTTTTAAATCTAAGGAAAAAAAGCAGTACCCCTGGAAGGATTTGAAAAAAGGTGTCAGAAAACAAGAAACATGATACTAATAAGAATGCTTTGAATTAGTAATGAACCGTGCTTTAGTATAAACAGTAATGCGATGCACTCTATTTATTTGAAAATCAGAAAACTTCATAAAAGACACGTCATCTGCTTGAAAATTATTCTTCTTATTTACCTATGTAACACCTATTACAGACAATTACCAACCAACTTCAAAGTAGCTATAGGACTAACCTGCTGGTATATACTTAGCATCGGTAGATAATTACGGAATTTATTTTTAAATAAACCTGATCTAGTGGGTGGCATCCCTGCCTTTGGTAGGGGTGTTGGAATTAGATGTTCTTTAAGGTCCCTTCCAACCCAAACCATTCTGTGATTCCATGATTTTACATAAATGGATTACACATTATACAAATGATAAATATTGAAAATATGAGATGGGAATTAAAAACTTGTGTCATGTATCTCTTAAAGAGCGTAGATATAAAAGAAATCTGGACAAGGTTACGAAAGGCGCATCTGCTCAATAAAATTTTGCAGCCTATTTTGAAATACAAAGAAACATGGTTGCACTTTCAAATTGTTTTCCTACAAAGCAGAACGACCCAACAGCAAGTAGCAAACGCTCCCTATCTACCTACCATCGAATTTGTTTTTATAAATTACGCGCGGGTTAGGAGACGAAGTGACACTTTTCCTGTTGGAATGGACAGCTGGTAAATGTCGTATCATGTAGCTGCCTGGTATTTTAACTCGCTTGCAATGCTCCAACATAGTTTGCAGCCTGTTGACACATGAGCTCACAGCACAGCATATGACAGGTTAGTTATGCAGCATGCCATCCTCGCTTCCTGGGAGTCGCATCAATGCCAGGACGTGTCATTTCGGTGTGATGTGCCAGGGAGAAGCCTTAACTTTATCTGTCAGGACTATCTCATGAAGTGCACGCCGCAGAAGAAGCTGATTGAACTTTGTACCTGAAAAGCTGTTAATTGATCTAAAAAATACACTCCTGGCAGCCCGAGGCTCAGCATTCCCCGTGGCAAGAGAAAAGGGGCTAGCTTCAAATAATATCGGCATTCCGCAAGCAGACTGCGTGGGGATGTCTGTCTCGTGTGCAGGATGGATCTCACTGCCATTGCTCTGCTGTTTGATCTGAGAAATCAGATCTTACCATTCATACAACACTCATTTTCACCAGTACCTTCCCCTCAGTGTTAGGAAAGAAAGCGTGAGCCAGGTTGTGTGACACACGAAAGACAGAGTGGCCTGCACGCTTTGGACCAGCAGATTAGCTCAAAACGTTAACACCAGCGACATGCCAATTGTAAAGTTACTGAAATGACACAGGACTGAAGTTGAGAAGAAGTAAAAGGGGATTTCTTGTGCTAATTTTGCAGATGAAACTGATGAAGTAATAAAAGGACTGGATTTCAAAGCTCCCTATTCATAGGCCATCATCCTAATTATCAGAGTAGAGCTTAGCTAATTATGTTTCCTGAATACTTACAAACCTCCCCTTGGGGTTTGCTTTATTTAGTCACAAACACCATTTGTTTTACAGTGAAAGATATTTTCGAAATAAAAAAAACCTCAATTTTTACTCTTGTCTCAATTAAGAGAGCAGGTTTCATGAACACATAAAGGAAGCAGACAAGTTTCTAACTTAAGGGCTCTCGGTCATCCTCAGGAGGTTCCAGCAACTCTACAGGATCCAAACTAGGACTCTAACATTGGACACCTTAAGAGTCTTCAATTTATACTTCATTACAAAAGCGATGCAGTGGAATCAAGTTTTGGCATCCAAAAAGAACAGTTTCAGCCTTAACCATTTGTGAAGACATAGAGATGCTCTGATTTTCTGATCCTGCTAAAATGAAGTCAACCTCTTCTGTTCTGTTAAAAACATGTAAGTGTTTTTTTTTTTTCTTTTTTCTTTTTTTTTCTCCTCTATCAGCTCTGTGGAGATCATTTTAAGTTTAGAACATAGCCATGTGCCTGGAGAGTATTTACAGTTATCCTTGCAGAAGAAGTTACTTTAAAAATCATACCTGAAAACAGATCTCCAGCTGTGCTCCTACTACTGCTGAGGCTTATCTGGACCAAGAGGAGTTATATTTCACGTTGTGTAAGTAGCTATCTCCTGCTAATACAATCCTGCATGGCTGCTTTTAAAACCATGGCACTGGTGATTCATGACATGTTCGGCTTCTGATCGACTATGACCTTTTAACAGATAGTCCTTAACCTTAACAAAAATGTTAAAAAACCAGTTAATTACTGCCAAGCATTCCTGGGTTGATTGGCCATACAAGATGTGGAGAGGTGCGCATTTGTGTACACCTGACCTCCTATTTTTAATTCAGTCATTTCTCAGACGTATTAACACCATTCTGATTTCTAAATTGGACTTCTGCGTGCTTACAGTCTTCTCCATGTTGCTACCATTTGCAAATTCAGCACTTTAATTTTTACGTGGACACACTACTGTGTGAGATCCAGGGTGGATTTCTGCTCATTTCACAAATACTGTAGTCCCACCAGGCCTCCTTAAGTCTTTAAAGGTAACCCTTTTACGATTTTATCAGCTAGTTTTCTGTATATACCAGGATGAATTTCATCAAGCCAAGCTGATCTGAAAGCATCTTCCTCATCCAATTAGTCTCTAAATTCTTCTTTCAGTATTTTATCCTGCATTCCTACCCTTTGTTGCTAGTGTGAATTCCATTTGCTATTGAACATCATTGGACGTTTAATGAAGAACACAACAAAAAAATAACATTTCAGTCTTCTTACCATCACTCGTGGACCAACTCTTTTCCTTTTAAAATGCATGTTTACAATTATTCTTGTGATATCTCACATCCCCTGTTAGTTGTTCTTATTTTGTACCTCAGCTTTTCTAATTTTATCAATGTTTATTATTTCTGTCCTCATTTTTTAGCAATGGCACAAACTTTCCACTGTGTGCTTTCCCTTTTCAGGTTGCTGAAAAGCTCATTATTTTCTCTCTTGCTATACTCCCTCTCTTCACTCAGCATGCAGGCCTTACTACCAGTTTTTTGGAGGATCTCATAATCTACTTGCACTCTCTTGCCCCAAGGAACAGTCTTCTAAATGTATTGAAGGCTATTTCATTGAACTGTTTTATTTTCTTGCTGTTCTTCTCTTCCTAAATATCATGACTTATTTACCCTTACCCACTTTCATCCACATTCCCTTTCATATTCACATTCTCAGGCAGTTTCCCTCAACTGGTCAGAATCCAATTCAGAAGACTTGGTAAAAACAGAGAAGCATGGTTTCAGGAACTTACTCTGAGAAACTCAAAAGGAAGGTGAAAGAGTGATGAATGAGTTCTGAAGCCCTTTCAAATCCCAGTATGCTAGTTATTGCTCTTCTCTGGACATGTTTTAAACACTTTACATGATCTCTCTAAAGATCAGGTTTTCTAAAAGAAAAGCTTCTTTCTGGAAAAAATTTAGAAGTCCAACATTTTACCTCTATGTAGAGCTACAGACTATTTTTTAAATGTGTCCTTTCTTTTCTGAGTTACTGTCCTAATGCAGTGCTTCTTTCCTGAGAGGTTGACCACACAATATGGACTACATGCTGGAAGGGATCTCCAGAAGACATCAAGGCCAACGTTCTCCTCAAAGAAGGGTCATCTATGAGGTCAGATGAGGTTATTCAGGGATTTATACTGCAAGGTCTTGAAAATCTTTAAGGATGGAGATCTCTTTGGGCAACCTGGTCCAGTGCTCATGGTGAAAAGATTTCTCCTTAATTCAAATTTCAGCTTACGTCTATTATGAGTTTCCCAGGGGCTGAAGTGAGGCCAACCAGTCTGTAGATCTCCAGATTGTTCTTCTGGCCCTTTTTGAAGCTGGGTGCAACATTTGCTTTCTTCCAAACAGTGGGAACCTTTCCAGATCTCTGTGACCCTTCTGAGTACCTCCAACTCACCTGTGTCTGCTCTCATTAAATCACCCACACCCTTCACACCAGGCCCACATTTTCCTTGCTCAGCCTCTTATTATCAGTGTAGAGGCAGAAGCTCAGCTCACTGGCTGGGATATCCCTTCCCAATCTCAACTCCATTTGAATTTTGCCTTTCCTGACACCGTCCCTACATGCCCAGGTAATGTTTTTAGGCTTCTCCATATAGTCTGTCACTGCTTCCACCTCTTATCTCTGTCATAGCTCCTCTGCTTAATGAACAGGCTAATTAATAACATGCAGATTTAAGGCTGGTTTATGTAAGTGTGACTCACTAAAACAACATATCACAAAACAAGTTTTAAATTCATGCACTGAAGTAGGCTTTTTTTGTTGTTTTTAGTTTTGTTTCTTTTCCAATCTAGTTCACACTTATTCTGGATTTGCACATGTCTACTCTTATCTGGAGAGCAGATTTTTAAACATCAGTAGGGATATTAGTTGTTTGTATGTAGCAACACCCTGGCCAAGCTGAACTGTGCAATGCACAGATGGACATTCAGTATGATGACAACATAATGTCCCCTCCAGTTTATTACAGATCATAAAATTGCAATTAAATTAAATTTGTTATGTGTCAACTTGATTTGCTTGTATACTCCAATTATATTTTAATTCTGTTTTTATGGTATTTGGTACACAGACTTTGTTTCTATTGTTTTCAAACAAATCAACAACAACTTAGTAAGTTTCAGAAAGTACTTTAGAAACTCACAAAGGAAAACAATGAGAAAAACACACCCAAATTTCCATGAAGCAATCCCTTTTTGTTAAATCTTCCGGATGGGGTAACACAGATTCTTCTAAAAATGACTGTCATCACAAAGAATATAAATACCTCAACTTGGTAGTCACTTGTGATCACACAGCAAGAAGCGAGTTCTCCAAATTAAAAAGAAATGTATAAGATACTCAGAATATTTTCAAAGGCAGCTTCTCCGTGTATGAGTCTGACTTACACCAACTTCAGAAAACGCAGTAGTAGGAGAGCTGCAAGTTACAACTTTAGGATCCAAAGATGTGAGAAAGAGATTAGTTACCTGGTGTTTCTAGCTTTGATTCTTAATGGCCATTAACAAGTATTAACCAGTATGGTAGCAGCGTTCAAACCCAGTGAAGGTCAGGCTGGCCAGTTACGCAGAGCAAACTAATTAATTGGAAATACAGCAGACTGCAGCTCATTTGTCTATGATATATAGATGCAAGAAAAAACTCTCCGTGTTCAATGATTATGTTGTCTCTTCATTCCCATTTTTCTTTACAGAAAAAAAATGAAAAACCATATAAAAATATTTTCAGACTGTTACGTTTTCATTCCAGCATCAGATCTCGAAGAGAATCCAAGTGCTAATTTGTTCTTATTCATGTTGTGGACCTTAAGGGTACAGATCAACCAACTAAAGCATTCTGATGATCATTTTTGTAATTTTGTATTTTAGAATTTCATCACTTTGCTACCATTGTTTCAATTGAAAAGAGCAGAAACTCATTCAGAATCTACACATCCTACAAATAACTATTCAAACTGCATATTTTAATTATCTGTAATCTAATCTAATGTTTTTATGGTAACTGTCAAGTGCAGAAAATCTAACTGCAGTGCATGATACTGCCAAGACAAAAGTTAGAACTAAAGTCCGGAAAGAGTTTAGTTTGCTAGAAAAGCACAGCCTCCCCTATGAAACAGTTAGCCTTATTTAATTGTTTTTTTTCCAAGTACATCTCATTCATTTTCATCTACTTATGAATTGCTTTTCAAAACAGGTATCAAAGATTTGTTAGGTCAATAATTATTTTCACTACTTTAGAGTGATAAATGTTTTCCAAAACTTTTTTTTTTTTATCATCCCACAGAATATTAGCTAAATATAATGATTCTAATATGCTTGTTTCCTGGCATTTGGTATTTTGCCTTGTTCATGAACATTATATACAGATTCTTATTTAATTTGGGATTGCCTGAAAAACAGTTTTCATCATAGTATTATGGAAAAAATTCCATTATGTGCTTGCAAGTTTCATGAATTTTTAGTAAGAGGAACAGTAAGTGATAATGAGTAATGGATAAAATCATACACTAATATACATAAACTTACAGTAAATGCCTATTTGCTAGAGGATATTTCAAGTCTCAGACTTACTTGGCAGCAGCATCTTTTCTCAGCTGTTCGTGTTTCATTAGGAGATTCTTCCTCTCTTGAAAAGCCTTTCTAACTTTATATCCTTTATAGACAGCCTGAATTTTGAAAGCCGCAATGTCCTGTATAGCAGCTATAGACAGAGCTCCGTGTTCCAACATGAACTGAATCACTTCATGGTGTTCCCCAAGCAAGGCATAATCAAGTGGAGTGTACCTGAAAAAAAGAATGCAGCAATCATCACTGAACTAGATTCCTAATGTAATGTGCATTCATGTTACGAGATTCATCCTGAATAAGGCAACTTCTAGTATGAAGACTGATTAAGCAGTGTTCTCAGTAGGCCATTGTTCTTATTTTAAATATTATTTTCCTGTCTTGCTCATTGTGCATACCTTGATTATGTTTAAGGCTTATTTTAGTTTCCTAACTTGGCAGGAGGTAGACATTATTAGGTGCCAGACTCAAATCCTCCAAAGTCCTAGCCACAGGAGTAACTGCTTTAAGAAAACAATCTCAAAAGAAGTTATTAAGGTTCACATACGGAAAGATCGTCTAAGTAAAAAGTTAAATCATATTTTGTGTTATTTACACATGCATTTAAGTTCTGAAGATGTACTGTTGAATCTGACTTTGCTCCTGTAACAATGACTGAGGACAGCAGAGCTGGCCAGCAAGAGCATTAAACCTGCATTAACGAGTAAAATTTTTTTAAAGAAGCACTAGAAAGTCTTAAGTCTGCTTTCAAATTGATGCAGGTGATAAAAGTATTAAATCTCTTTGCTTTTTAATAGCGTCAAAGTTGCCTCAGCACTTTTGAAAAAAAAATTCCTCCGATTTCTACTGTCGATAGGGAAGCAAAAATAATCAGTCACAAACCATAACCAAGGCCATATAAACCAAGATCTTCAAGCAGTAAGTGTCAATGCATATAATTGTGAAAATTAGGGCTCTTCTTGATGGTAACTTGCTAGGACACAATACTGGTAAGCCAAGAAAAACAGACAGAGAGAGCACAATTAGACTTGCCACCCAGCAATGATTTGATGGAAGGATTAACAGTATCTGAACTGAAGTGTCTGCAGGAATAAAGACAATGACATAACATGAAAATCTGTATGTCAAGGTGTGTTGATAGCATTTAAAGAAAGACAGATTTTTTGATAACCCAGGAAGGGGTACTTCAGAAAGGGCTTCATTTCAGAAAAACACATTTTTAAAGCATAGCTAGTTTTGAATATTTTACTTTACAGGTACAAAAGATATTGAAGTAAGCTTTATGCTGCTAACATGTATGTACCAAGGCAGTATTATGGATCCCATTCATGCAGACCCATATTCCTACACACAGATTCTCTGACTCCATTAGAACTACCTTAGAAAGTAAAAAGCACTCAATCAAATCTGAAGAGGGGGTTGTATAACTGGACACTACCCATTCAAGGCTGCTTATGGACGCTCCTCACAACCACCCGTTAATGAGTTGTGTCAGTCCTTCAGACTAGCACTTGATCACACACATACAAGCAAGTGGCCAACTTAAAACCTTCGATGAAATCTCAGCTCCATCTTTTCACAAGCTGATTTAGTTTTAACTGCTAGGTTTGAATCTTGAACTAGCGTCTCATACTGAACTGTAAGAACATCCAGAGAGGCTTCCTTCTGTAGGTGTATTGGAAAAAAATTACTATTTTCTAAAACTGTTACTCAATGAAAAGGCAATTTCATCCAATTAGATGAATCATATTTTACTCATCATTTTTACTCTCTCTTACAACACTTGACTTTCTTTTCCACTATCCAAATTTCTGCTGGTTTACAACTTGTTTAATAAAACAAGGTTTTGTAGATGTCTACTAAGAGGCAATTGTGCAATTTCTATATATAAAATACATGTTTTGGAAAATTAAAAACTGATTCATCTTGAAATATTGGGGATATGCTTTGTTTGGCACATGGACTAGTGCTTAAGAGCTGCCATCTGGAATGCTGCTAGTTATATTTTGAGTAATCTAGGTTTATACATAAGAACATATACGAATCCCAGAAGAGAAACAAAACTAGATACTAACTGAATGACTATGGAAACACCACAGCTAAGGTCTTTTTCTGATAGTTGAGTATCATTAATACATTCCACCAATGTAAGGAAAAGAACAGGCTCCTTTCTAGCAAAATATTGGCTTTTAATCGTACTTATTAAGAGTAATTTAACTACAGCTGTTTATTTAATTTTCCATCAAAAATTACTAGAGAGAGTATTGGCACTACTTCATTAGGAACTACTTAATGCTTTCATTTGTGTTCCTCACTAAAAAATGAGAATACATAGAATAGGAAAAGAGATCTGAGTGGTTAGAGTAGAGAACAAAGGAAAAATGATGGGGGAAAGAAAGCAATGAAAAACTGGGGTAAGCAAGGAAGTTTCAAGCCTAGCACTAAAATACGGGGCTTAAAAGTATTTAAATTATTTAATATGTTGAAATATTCAAATGTATATGACATGCTGATCGTAATTTTATTTATGATTATGATGAGGTCATCTCCTCTAAAAAAGCATTATACATTTCTGTTAACACTAATTATCTTCATGGTCAGGTGACTAATTTGAACTCCACAACCCAAATCACTTTAAAAAAAACTATTATTTACGTGTCAATGAAAGACAAAGAAAAGAGGTGCAAATGTACTGTCTCTTTATGAATATAGGAAGATTTTTTTTAAAAGCAGGCCTTTAGAATACAGTCAATCACCAAGTAATTGGTAATCACCATTTTAAAATGTAACATTACATTTCTCCCATTTTCTTTCTTCATTGTGTATTCCTATCAAATAGAAAAGAAAAATTCCAGTCTATGCCAACAGCAGCAGAAATGCCTTTTCATCCTTTCAGATCTGTTGTCAACTTCATATAAATGAAAAACATGCTTAATATTTGGAATGAGACTAGAATGAAGAAATCCATGAGCTCAAGGTTCAAAAGTATAAACAGTTGAAGTTTACACTTGCAATGTCTTACTTAAAGAAGAGATTTTTCACATTTGAAATTGAAGCTTAAAATTATGGCACTCCTTTACATGCAAGGAAAATCATGATTCTGTGAAAATATCTGAATATTAAACATTTAAATCAATAAGTAGCATTTATGCTAAATTAGAAAATATCACATTCAGACAAGTAATACCTTTCCTCGCTGTTCTCCATATGATTAGGGAAAGCATCAAAACCAAGCAGTAACTTTATAGCATCAAGGTAGCCATTATTACAGAGCCAGTGTAAAGCAGTTCTTCCCTATAGACAACAGAAGAGGAAAAAAAATCATTCCCAAACTCTATCACACCACAATAGAAATTACAAATCGTACTGTAATTCAATCCTTTTCTGGACATGAAGGACTAGCAATTCTTCTAAATAAACTCACTTGTTAAAATAAAAGAGTACATCATTTAAAAATGAAATCACCTATTTTTTTCTTTTTAAACCAGATTGCTAAACTATTGCTTTTTTTACATAAAGTAGCTGAAAATTAGCATTAGGAGACTAGCCCTGCAGGTGATTTCTTTGCAGCTATGCTGCCCTGGTCTGAAGCAGCTCTCAGCAACCTTTGTAACTCAGACTGTTTTCTAGGCTGATCCAAAATACTCTGACAAGACTGAGAGAATTATTACAAAAAATCAAAATCTGATGAAGTTCAGGGCAAACATCAGCTCGGGCAAACACAGAAAGAAAGACTCCAGTTGTGACTTCTCTCACATGAAGCAGAAGTCCAACTCACAATACACTCACTGTACAGTATGCTGGCTGCACTCTGTACAACCACTATCACCATTATATGACCACTCTTGGAACTGGGATCAGAGATTCACAGTATGAATCTCAGACCTCACAGTATGAGGTCTGTTAATATCTACAAAATATAGGTATTCCACTTCACTTCTAGGGCACGCCTCCTGTCTGCATTTTGCTTTTCTGAACTCCAAATTTAGGAATTAGCTAGAAGACTGGGTATCATGGAAAAACATAAAAAACGTTGAGCACAGTGTTAACAAGCTGGTCCCTAAGCCCCAAGTGCTGTAGAGTATCCTGTAGTGTCTCTGTGAAAAAGTGGCCAGGAGCTGATGTGGGCACCTGCATTTGAGCTGATGCCATATGAACTGGTAGCAGGTTTGGAAAATATTCCCAGAAAACTTTGGAAAAGTCATAATAAAAAAAACAATTTTCCATTACCTGGAATTATCCATGCCCTATAATGAATAGCTAGAGAAAAGTTTAATAAATTGGGTGAAGTTCTTTTGATTGATGAAGTTCTACTGACTTCAGAGAAATAAAGTCAAATATCAAAGAAATCTGTTATATGTTGCACAATTATTCTGGCTCCTAATTCCACTTACTGCTTGAACAATGGCAAAAGAACATATAAACAAACCATTGATTCCCTTATTTATTTATTTATTATTCTCACCTGGAAGAGGTACACACATAAATAATTGAAGAAGATCTATAATCTCACTTGCAATATCTTACTTGCTCTACCTCGCTAATACATGCTGAAGAAACATACTACAAACTATAAAATCACATTCTTATATCACCTGTCAATAAGGAACATGAAAAGTGAAGAAATAAGATGCTTAAAAAGACTTGTCATAAAGATCACATTTTGATGAGGAAAAGCATGTCTTCAATTCATGCTGCATATTGAACTATTATATTTCATTCAAGACTTTAGAAGTGAAGATATGGGAAAATTATGTCAGGATGCATTTTATTTCATGATAAACAGCAGCAAACATGCTTCTACGTTCCAGAGAAGAGAATGACCTTTAGATTTATTGTTATTCTTAAGTTAATGAAATAAACCAGTGAATGGCAACATACCTCTTTATCCTGAATATTTGGATCTGCGTTATTCTCCAGTAGCACTACCATGCAGTTAATGTAACCTCCATACGCAGCACACTGGAGAGGTGTTCTACCTGCATAATCCTGCACATTAGGGTTGATTTTATTTTCTATCAAGATTTGGCACACATCAGCATTTCCTCCCAGGGCTGCCCAGTGAAGGGGTGAATGGCCGTCTTGGTCAACCAAATCTACTCTTGCTCCTCCTGTAACAACAAATTAATTTTTGAACATAACAAGAAAATAATTTTGAATGAAGAGAAAACAAAGACTAAGTTTATGTTCAACATCAACTTTTTGGTACACTGGCAATTCAAGGAAATAATTCTGAACCAACAGAATCAACATTATTATCTAAATCTCAAAAACTAAACCAAAATGAATTGGCAATGAAATAATTTCAGTGAGGGTCAGGCATCTAACAACTTTATAAGTTTCTGAGATCCTCTCAGATGCTTTAGAAACTTTAGGTTTGTCAAATGGCCTTGAAAAATCTAGCTGCTTTTTGTTCCGGGTCTATTAATTGCAGTAAAACTTAGTTTTCTTGGTGACAAAATCACTTCTGATAACTAAACATTAGATATAACCTCTTTTTAAATCTCTCAAGCATACAGTATAGAATAAAAAGATAAAATATTCACAGTGTAAGAATGACTTTTGAAAAAAGTTTTGTGGTTTGTTTTTTTTAATTGAAGTATGGTAAGGATCGTTTATGCAGATTTTTCTGTGTTCTTGTAAGATGCAAAAAGTCATTACAAAAATAAAATTCCACAATTACATAAACTCAAACCAACCATCAACAATTACTGTCTATATCATAAAATATTTAATTAATCATGACTTGGATTCGGATAATCAAGCTTCTTGCATCAGAAGTTATATGCCATAGGGAGTTGGAGGAAGAGCTTAACAGAAAATTAAAATAAGCGCAGCAGTTAACAAAGGAAACCAAACTTTTCAGTAAGAAAGGTTGTTTGACAGAAAACCTGTAATCTGTTAGTCTGCATACTTCACCTGACAATAAACAGGATACTATCTCCAGTAGGAGGGAGACTGCTCCCAGCCTACATCGAACTTTTCTGTGAGTTTAAAATGAAATAATTTTGCATCTAAGACACCACTGTTCATTCAACATATTTTGTACAGTTCAGCAGAGCTTTTTCAATTATCTAAAACTGTGTGCACTGTTAAGTCTCATTTCTGTTTACAATTAAATTACTGTTTCTAAAATACAATTATGGGAAAATATTAATGATTTAGGATTTTTGATAACTACTTTAATTAAAAATACACATTCTTTTAAATAGTCAAAAAGTTTCCAAAGACAACTAAAAGTGATGTCTGGCATGGAGAAAGCTTTATGGGGTCTTATTTATTGAAAGAAAAAAGAAAAAGAAAAAAACACCAAAACAATGACTTGTCAGGGGAAGACGTGGTTGAGAGACTAGAATGTACTTGGAACAGGCTTAAATAAAAAAAAAATGTCCAACTTTTTAAAGTTTAGATTTAACTCATAAGGAAACAGATTAGATTAGATTTAGATTAGATTAACTCATAAAGGAACATCAAAATTCTGAACAGGTTTGTAAATTTTTTAACAGCTGACCTTTAATGAGTGTTTGTATCACCTCTTTGTGTCCCATCTCACAGGCTCGGAAAAGTGGAGTGTGTTTCATGACATCCAAAGCATCCACCTGTGCGTTATGTTCCAACAGCAACTTCACTGTGCTGACATGGCCAGAAAGTGCAGCAGCGTGTAATGCTGAAAGAACAAAGCAGTAAGAAAAAGAAATCACCATACCATGAGCTTTGGAGGTTCACAATTAGAACAGTTAAATTAAACAAATAACTTCGATCATTTTGGTGGAAAAAAATGCTTTTCAGCTGTTAGAAACTGCAGAATCCTAACAAGTGGCAGGCAATCACGATCCATGTTTCTTCAGCATACAAGCAATAGAGCACTATAAACAGAAAACCTGTTAGCTCTAAAACATGTTTTAACGTGCACAAATAGGAATTTTAACCTTAACAGCAGCAAAACTGGATTATACTCATGATTTGTGGAAGTTTACCAGCTTTAGCTTAAAAAATTAAGAGCTTATACGATCTAGTTTTGCCTCTGTTTCATAGCATTTATTGTTACCCCAATAGACATAAAACTGTCCATTTCAAAAGAAATAAAGCTTTCATTATTTCTTCAACATTTTCTTGAAAGTGCCATTTTTTCTTTCAAAAAAGCAAAGCAGTCTCAACTAAAATTAACTCCAGATAACGACCTAGCTATTCAACCCCCTGCTTTTTTTTTTTTTTTTTTTTTTTAGAATTACTTGGAGAAAATTTTACACAAAATTACATAGAAAGCCATTACATCTCATGCGGTATCTTCAACTCTTTGCTTCCTTTGGGAAGAAGAAAAAGATATTGGACAAACCAGATACTGTATTTCCTCTCACCCTTACAGTTTAGGAAGTTCAGTTGTATAAAAACTATTCTAATTAATTTTGCAGACTCCTACTCTGCCGTATTTTTGTCTTCTCATCTTTGAATGCATGCAGACTTCACTGAATCCAAACCACCAAATAACACAGAACTACTTTAGCAGAGTTAAGACCGCAGAGGTAAAGACATGGTGTCTTAGCAGCATCCTGCTGGCACTGTCACCTGCAGCTGAGGAAAATGCTGAAATGCCAGTACAACCAGTTCAGGGTTCCTTCTGAAAGAAAGGCAAACTACAGATAGCAATGAGATTGCAAGCAAATGGAGGCCATATATTGGTGATTTCACTTACTCATTGATTTCAAAATGCTTTGGATTATTTCCTACAGTCAGCAATTGAATAAAATAATCTACATTTTCAGAGGTACACTTCCTTACATCCGTATTATTTCGTAGATGACAAAACACAAGTAGTATAGAATGAAAATAAAGATGCGCAATGCACAAATTGCACATCATTTTGTGCTGTGCATTCTTATTTCCCCATGAAATTTCACAAATACTCAAAGTTGGTGAGAATTCAATCTGCTCAAACGAGCACGATGCGGGGCCGCAAACAGCGCCTACATGTTTCTACTTGTTTAATGTTAAAACAGGCAGGGTCAGGATCCAGCAGAGGCATTACAGAAAGGCACACCACAAAGGCCAGCGTCAGAAGGAATTGCTTCTTGAACCTCAGCCAGACTATCGAACTGCCAGGCTTTTTGTACTTGCCTGCCACTGTTTGCCACTGCTGCTGCTGCACACAGCTTATGAAACAGTAGCCTGGCATAACCTGTTACACAGATGCTAAAACATGCAGCTTGTTCATAATGACAGTGAAACAAACCTAGCAGGATTGCACTGCCTTAAAACACGGATTCTCAGAATCTGTGATAGGAACTGGAGTTGTGGTACAGACAAATGAGGCACTTCCTACAAGAAATGGGGTCACGGCCTGCGACAATGTGAGTTGTGCTGTCTTCATAATGGAAATCCTGCCATTAGGATGTTAATAATGTTCAAAAAAAAAGGACATGGGGGCATTCATCACACTCCTGAAAAAATCTGTAAGCAGCAAGGTCTTCACTAGCTAGGCGAGTGGGTGGCTATAAGCAGAAATTTGACAGGAACGAGATCCCCGCTGCTTCGTACAACTTGGATGGGCCCGGTTTTCATGCCCTGACCTCACCGTAAACTTTAGGTTCTGGTTTTTGTACTGCACTTCTTATGAAACCAACAGGCAGTAAAGCACTCAATCAGATGACACATGGGGTGTGTATAACAATACCATAGAAAAAGAGCTGCTGTGTCAGCTTGGCCGGTGCTTCCCCTCGATCACTCATTCTGACGCAGGCATCTCGTTTCGCACTTTGTGCTCAATATTTTCTGGTAGGCCAAATTTTCTGTGATGGAGTCACGGTGACTGAAGAGATTCCTGGGCCAGCTGCTCACAATAGGACCTTTGTTGAGCCGACAGACAGGGCTCTCAGCATTGTAGGCAGTGACGGCAGAGCCATAAAGCTGCCCCTGTAATGCTCCTGCAGCGCTGCTCTCCGAGAACAGCGAAATTCCTTTCCCTTGGTGTCATTCTCCTACACAATGAGGAGAGCCTTGCTGCTCCCTCCAAGCTCTGAGCTGAATGGGGAGCTTGCTCTTTTGAAGCAAATGCAGACAGCTACGTTAAGGCAGCAATATAACCGGGCTGAACCGGGTCCCTGCACAAAAGCCAGCAAAACACAAACTTGAACTCTCCTCAGCAACTGTATCCCAGGCACAGGGGCACGCGCATTATTTTCTGTTACTACATGGTTTCCTGTTAGGATACGACGCTGCTTTGCCCTCGCCAAAACTTGGGGAGGATTAGGAATCTTCAGAAAATATCAGGTCTGCATGCAGAAGGTGATTTAGCCCTGGGCTTCCTTGTAGGTTTACAGCTCGCTACAACAAAGTTCACATTTGCACAATGGTGAGATTCAGATGGCTCGATAGCAAGCAAAGAATGGCACAGCTCTGAACTTTAAGGCTATTAGCGGGCTCTGCACAACGGCAGTTTTGAGTAAATGGAAAATCCATTAATTTCCTTGGATTAAAAGCCCGACAACAAAAATCAAGATTAGAAAGTGATTACACATCACTGCTACAAAAGGTGTAAGACTCGAGGATAATACAACCAACCACCTGAGTTATTCAAGCATGAAATCCACAACTGAGTCATTTCAGCAGCACGGCCTCTGAGTAGCGTCTGCAAAGAGCAAGCCCCTTTATAAGGAGGTTTTGCACAGCAACTACAACATTACTGCTCTTTAAGGTCCGAAATACTGGGAGGCATTTAAAAGAGACCCATCACAGAAGAACAGAACCAGGCAGGACTAATAAAAGATGAAACAAAAATAAAATGGTCGAGTATGTAGCTTGTCAAGTCATCAGACACAAAGATTGAGATTTTAGAGATGTTGTCACCATTTTTAAGTCAAAAACTACAACCCATCAAAACTTGAAAAGACTGATCTTTGGTGTGCTAGTTTGTAAGGAAAGCAAGGATTCAGATTTTTAAATAGAACTTTGTAACAACTGTATTTCACAGAGTAAAGATCACCCTAAAGGCAAAGGAAGTAAACATTTCAAATTTAAAGTAATGTTTTTACTTGCGGTTTTTCAAATCTGAACCATGCAACTCTGACATTGCACTTATTTACAATTTTATGTGATTCAATAATAGCAACTGTATGATCTGAAGAGAAAAGCTGTTAAACTTGCCTTTTTTTCCTTTTTTTTTTTTTTTCTTGCTTAGGATACATTGTCACCGAAAGTTCTCTAGTCTAAGCATGCAGCTTGGTCTGGTTTGTGTGTGTGAAGACAAGATAATGCCACCTGATAATATACTTCAAAACAAGGATGTTAACATTCATTTAAACAAAACTTAACAATGCACATTCTTGTTGGCTCTGATTGCACATTTATGATTTAGTTTTCGTTTTAGGAGAAACACTGTCCACACAGGAAAGCATCCTCCACTATATTATTCACAAGCATGTGCTCTATCAGTGTGGCTAACATTTTAGTACTTATAAGTACATAAGTACACATTTTTGCACTTAACTTCTAAATTTATGACCTGGATGTGACTGGTACAGGGCAGATCACGACTCCTCTCACACAGGTTACTCTTACAGACTGCTGCTACCAATTTATGCCCAACATATCCACACTCCTCTTTTTTTTTTTTTTCCTATTCAGATGTCATCAGCACACTATATGGTTCCACTACTTCTACTTTTATTTCCAACATTATTGAAAATACAAATCCCTCAACACCCGTATCCCTGTCAGAACTGTTATTCTGTTTTTCTTGAACGTACTGCATAGACACAATATTTCTACCACATTTTTTTTTCCTTAAAAGAGATAAATTCACACTTGCTATTGGAAATTTGGAATTTCATGACTTGTGTGTTTGAATTCTGAAACACTGTGTTGTATCCTTATCTTTTGCTTTGGGCTGACAATAGTGTGATAAACTTGGGCATTGCCAAGTTTAACCTCTTGATTGAACAAAAGAAGTGCAATAGCTCTCATTTTTATTACACTATCTTTACACATAGCTATGTGTACTCAGTGATTTTCATGATGATAGTTCAGCCTCTTCACTGGTTCGTTTGTTGTATACTGTTTCAAGGTTAACAATGACAAATAAATAGAGGTTTATAACAGGCATTTTCAGGGAGAGCTTTTTATGTAATTACATTTCATTTTATTCTTCAAAATACAGAATAGCTCTTCCTTCCACAGGATTATAGATTTACTAAATAGCAACACTTCAATACATTTCCACTTCTTGCTGTGTTTTAAATGAAGTGGTCCAATCTGCACAGACACAATTTGTTTCCTTCCCACAATAAGGCAAAGAAGTAACTCACATATTTGATTAAACTAATGCAGAAACATTTTGAGGATTAAGCAATATATCTAAGAAAAGATTACTATAGATCCTAACAATGTTATTTGGTGGAAATTACACTAACTGGAACCATCCAGTGGCTCTTTAGTGAAAGGCATCTTACCTGTGCCAGCATATTTGTCTGTCATATTGATATCAATATCCAGTTTCAAACTCAGCATAGTCCTAATGACGTCGTCGCTGCCTTTCCCAGCTGCCCACATGAAGGATGTTCGGCCCTCAAGATCTGAGTCATCTTTTACAGAAGGATGTTTCAAAAATACTTCAACTGTTTCCTGAAAAGACATACTATTGAAATTAACATTAAAAGGAATCTGTAACAACAAGAAACTATTGTGCCTCATTTGGCTGTTTATGAAGCAAATCAAAAGCTTCCTTTTCCTTTTTATGTTTATATAGACTCATAGATCAACAGAAGCATTTTACTTTCTACTACGCCCTTTTCCTCTTCAACATTCACAGCCACATCTTTAACTGTGAGTTTAACACTGTCATTCATTTTATACTCTTTTCTTTTTAGTGTCAAATATCATGTGTTCATCATAAGGGAGTGCTGTCACTGTGAAGAAAGCTATGGAAAATGGGAAAAATATTATTGGCTTATCATAATATTACTGTAATACTATGATGCTAAAATAATTTTCTTTCAGAGTATCTCCCTGCCATTTTTTTTTTGCTTTAAACCTGAATGACTACACATGCAAATATTTTAGCTTAACTCTCAAAATCTGACCACTCAAAAAAAAACAACCAACCACAAACAAACAAAAAAACACAGCAAAACAAAACAGGACTTTAGGAGAAATATAGACACATTTCCTAATATTCAATTATATTACGTTACTAATTACTGAAATGTTGTAAGTAAAGAACTAATTAAGAAATTCTTTACACTTGTGACCACTTGAGATTTTCCAATATAAATATCAGACTAAAATCTCTCTTTAAATTAAAGAGATTGATTTAAATAATTATTTCTTCAAATGCTGTCTTTGTGTTAAGCTCTCAGCAAACAAATCTACCTTCTTAACCTTCTGCTAAATTCTTAATAAGCCTCATAGTACACTAAGGGTGAGGAAATCACTGCTGGAAGAAAAAGAATTGGGGGGAAGGTTTTGCCTTTTCTATCTCATGGCTTATAAACGCTGTGTATCTAACAGTTGGTAAACACCTATAAACAGTGAGTGATGATTAAAATCTGAAAAAAGTGGAACTTGTTATTTTATTATATTTTATTTTATATTTTTATTTTAGTGTTAGCACTATTTTACCTTTTCCTTCATGTGACCATGAAAGAGCTCCATCACTGCCCTGTGTAGGATGAGAATTCCTTGGCTATAATAAAGCCCTGGCTCAAATGCTAAAGCCAGAATCATGAAGGTGTTTAAGAGGCTAAGTCCAACTGATCAGTTGAATTTTTTTAATTACTATTTATAATTTCATCTCTCTAAAGAAACAAGAAATTTCTCCTTTATGTTAGCATGACTTAAGATCCTAACATCTTTGTGAATTTGGGTCCATTTCTGAACTCCCAGTTTACTGTAAAAAGGTGCAGCCAGAAATAATGAGGAATGTAAGTGTTAAGCCTTCCACACAGAACAGCATGGGTTTATAGCTTTGTGTACTCACATTGACCACCGCTACACCTCAGATACAATCGGCGACTCATTAGGCTAACAACTCAGCACCCTACCAGAACTCTGCACTGCTTGATATCCTGCAAAGTGAAAAGCTGTAAGAAGGCTGGACCTTTTCAACACTAAGGCACACATTCTTCAAGCATAAATAAGTAATATTATTTTTCCATTAAGTTTTAGCAAATCAACCTTTCTTTTAACTACGCTTTTTTTTTTTTTCCCTAGAATTTTTAATGGGAAAAAGTGGAAGAAAATGCCATACTGTTGTAAGAATTATTTTCCAAACTGAAGTTATCACAGCTTGGAAACCAAAATGGGGTGAAATTAGTATGGGAATGTCAAGAAATCAAAAAATAAACATATTAAATCATTGTAATTCTACATATATTTTGTCATGAAAAATCATGTGTTTTATCTCTGTTAAAAATGTGGAGAAAACAGAATAAAAAACAACAAAGCTGAAAAACAACAATAAAGGAGAGAAGTAAATGTGGATCCTTTCATCCTGTGCTATCAAGAAACTGCAAATTACTAAACATTCAAGAACAAGACACGGGTATGCACATTTCACTTAGTGGTAAATCTATACAAGCATAAAGTGAAATACCTATTTTCTTGGACATCTCCATAAAAATAATAAAAATAAAATTTAATCCTGCATTCTGCATACTAAGATGAATAGTATTAGAACACCTGCCTTCACACATGAAATTCAGAACCCAAAAAAAAAAGGATGTCAATTTGGATCTTCTGTGGGTTACAAAGGACATGTAACCTTTGGGCAGCCTATTTGGGTGCTTATCTTGGGAAATTTTTCTTCTTATAGCTATTTCTTCTATAATCATTGGGGATAAGCTAGTCTAAAGAATAAATGCTTCACCTAAATTAATTGCCAGCTCTTCAGTCTCAAAAAAAAAAAAAGGACTAAAAAGGACTAAAAGGTCATAGAGTGAGTACATAAGCTGAGGAAAAACAACAAAGAAGAAGATATTGAATTCAGTAAAACTGAGAGCAACCAAAACATTTACAATAAACAGAGAAGATCAAACTTTCTTCTTCTTGCTATGGACAAAGAAACATCTTTAATGGAGAAACAAACCACGCCTATCCAAACTTTGGCAGCTTGAACAGAAGAAAAACATGGCTCTCAAATCATAAATATATGGATTCTACTGCCAAAACAAACATGGATGTGTCTCCACTCAGTTGTTTGACCATGTATATGGAATGCAGTGGTGGGAATTACTCTAGGATTCGTATGTAATAGGTAAAAAAAAAAAGTGTGGGGAGAGAGAAGCTCCAGACATTTGAGGCATGCATCAACAACGATGCCTGGATCACATCATCAGCCAGCAGAGGCTTGTATATCTGTGTGAGACCCTCCTGTTTCATTCTTCATGTAAGACGGGAAACAGTAAATTCATTGTAAGTACACAAGATTTCAAAAGAATGTCTGATTCCATCACCTATTCTGCTTCCACATAAAACCCAGAAGTTTCTCTGGCTGGTGGGATCAAAAAGCAGTAACATAATGAAAATCTTTCACACAATTAAATAAGTCTAGAGAAATAAAGCCAGCAAGAAAAATTATTTTGTAGGAATGTATCAATACAGAAAAGAAAAAAAAAAAAAAAAGATAAAAGCTTAAAGGGATAACCACCAGGTTGTAAATAACAACATTCTATCTTTCCCGTAGATCTTTCCCAGTTTAAGAGTCTGACTCTAGGAGTCTGATTCAGACTAGAGAGAAAGGCTTTTACAGCATAAATATTTCAGGTATGTGAGTCAGACCCAAACTGTACATTCCACATCATAATAATGGACTATAGTCAGCATCACTAAAACATTCTATGAAAATGCATGAATTACAAATGAGATGTGCTCCAATGAAAGTCTAAATTAAAAAATAAAAAATAAAACAAAACAAATTAAAACAACTCAACTCTGTATGTTTTTACTTAGACCACCTTCAAATAAAAGAAAAAAAGAGCCACGTTGGTTTCAGAAGGAAACAGAGGCCTGACAGCTGTAGTATTAACATACCTCGGTCAACTGCCTCTTGCAGTAGTTCTTCTGAAAACCACTCAAGATACAAAGATACTAAAAATTTACTTGTTTTATGAAAAACAATGTGTTGGTGGCAAAAGAGACCAAAATTAGTACCCCTGTTAAGAAAATGGTGCAATATAAACTATATAACTACATTAATTAGGCACTAGATAACCTCTTTTGTAATAGGAGATTATGAATAATATAACTGAAGAAAACTTAGACTGGAGCTGTTAACTTACTACGCATGGCATAATCCCACTATGAGTGACAGCTCATTGTGAAAAGAGCCTTCCTAGCTTCCAGTGCTTAAGAGCTTAAGAACTACTTCTACAACACCTATGACTGACCAGCAGTTGTTAAACTCCTGGCTTTTTTTTTTTTTTTTTTTTACTTAGCTCTACCGTATCTGATCGTGCTCTGGACAAAATTACATAGTCTACCAAAATATGAGGATTGGGCTGCCTAAGAAACCAATTTTCTTTTTAGCCTTTTTTTGTCTCAACACTGAACTTTTCAAAATATGGTGATCATGAGGAATTGTGACAAAAGTTCTTGCTCTTTACCCATGCTTTATGAGACAACAGCTACATTTATAATAGCAAATATTAATTAATCACTTTTTTGCAGTCAAAGTGTGGTTTGGCTGTTGCTGAAGCAGCTGTGCGAATCCTTATAGGGGTAATCTTCCTCTAGATACCTTATAACTGTTTGGATTTTGCTGAAATCAGCCTTTAAAAAGCAAAAGCACTGTAAAATAGTAGTTGTTATTCTGCTTTCCATCGAAGTACCGACGTGAGTATCATGTGCTCTGACGCAAGCATATAAACCAAGGGGCTTTGTTTGTAAAGCAAATTTTTAAATCTATTTTTAATAATTTGAAATTAAACATGTTAATATCATTACTAGGAAAACTGTGAATTAGGCTTGTGCTGACGCTGTTTATATGACTTCAAAAACAACCCAAATGCTTTGTTACACTGTAAATATTTCAGCAAAATACACTTACTTTACACTTAAGGTATGCACTACTTACAGCAAAGTTGCTCTGTGCCGCATAATGTAGAGGAGTTGCACCTTGGCTATCAGATGGGATAGTTCCAAACTTATTTCTTTCTAGTAAGAGATGGACAATCTGAGCATGACCTGAGAAAAACATAATAAAAACAAGTATTTACCAAACCCTGAAGTTAAACACTTCCCTATTAGAAAAAATTAGAAGAAAAAGAACAGACTTCAATAAATAATGTTTGTGTTGTAGCCACAATGGTCTAAACACTAAGAGGGAATCATAAGACCTGATATTTGTACTGTTAAGCCTGCCATGCACCTTATTCCCAAAAGTATTCCAGTTCCATATTCTGTACCCTCACTTCTGAGGGGCGCCTACGAATCAGAATGACCAATGACAAGGAACGTGTCTCCAGAAAGATTTTATACTTCTTTCAAAAGACAACGTTAGAGCACTTCTTTAAAAAAAGAAACCAGCATTAGCTGGTCAGAAAAGTGCAATATTAATATTATAATGAATGAAGTGAGTAGGTCCAGAAAAAGCTTCTGATGATTCAGCTGAGATGCTGCATTTAACTGACAGCCTGTCAGAAGCAGAAAAGCCAGTACAGACTAATAATGATGTCCATTTGTCCATCATCCAAGCGTGGATTCTTCATTCAGGTTTTATTCATACAAAATTTCAAGTAAAAGTGCATATTCACAGACAGGAAAACGAAGACCCAATATAGTGTATCACCATTAAAATCAACTGATCCTCTCTTATATGCTTTCTTCTGCAGGCATATTTAGCTCACAGAATATCTTAATAATTTTATATTTTAATGAACATACTGCAAGGCAAATAAATAAATAAATAAGGATACTCTGACTTTACAGGAGTAGTCTCCCAGTATCTTGTGTGAGAGCAAAACAGTCAAATTTGCATTATGTTACTTTTGTACAATTGACATAAATTATGTTGGTCTAAACGAAGAAAAGAATAGGTAAAGATTTCTACTAGCAGTAAGCTACTTAACCAAAACAATGATGGTAAGAGAATGTAGCTGTGTAACAGATGTAGTATGTAGCTTTTCAAAACCTAAGAGGTGGAGGGCTAGACAAGCTTTCTTTTGCAGAATAGCACTTTCAGACCTTGTATGTATAGAAGGATCAGAAATGAGAGAAAATGGTCAGCTTGGGTCAAAAAGGATGAATAGCCATTTGGGATTTTTTTTTCCTTTTTTCCTGAAGGACATGGAACCAATAGCTTTAGGGTACACAGGAAAGTTTTTCTTTCCTTTCAGCAATGAAGACAAGCCCGGAAACACACACCACACCCTCTGTCTCTTCCTACAGAAAAAAAAAAAAAACACTGTAGAGAAGAGACATAATGTTGCTATGATCTTCCCATCTCAGGACTATTAAATGGGTGCACTGAAAGAAGATGGTTCAATGTGCAATCCCAGCAGAAAAAACACAGGAGTATAGAAACTAGGAAAAAGGTGTCCAAACTTTGAGCACACAGAGCAAAGGCGACTGAACTTCGTAATCAGGACAGGAGGTCTACCTAAATCATCTATGAGAAGAAAGACTTGAGGGGGGTTGAAAAAAAGAGTTATACTTGGTGCATCAGTAAATAAACTGGTGCAAAGATACATCTTACTACAACATTAATTTTTAGATTTTCCCAGGTGAATTCTGAAACTTCATTCTTGAGGTCGAGAACTGTCAGTTCTGTAATACTTTTATTTAGAAGAGATGCAACTTGTATGAGACTTCCATGTACCTTCACAACTTGAGAAATAACAGGAACAACAATATCATGAGGTACACACAACCCAGCAAGCCACCACCTTTAACAGAATATTTACAATGCATCCCCACAATACAAAAAAACCTCCTACTTTTATGACCATTTAATAACACCATAGACTCTTTGAGATCCATATACAACATCTAGCATTTAACTCAAAAAAGAACCCTAAAAATTAATCATAATTTACCAGTAAGAAGTTCCTCATGGGCATATGCCACTTAGAGACCTCATCGAGTTCACAAACACTCTGGTGGTCTTGGCATGTCTTCCTCCTTTATCCCACATTGATTAGACAATCCATTTTTTTTTCCAACAGACAAAATTCTCTCTTTAAACACAATCGATTTCAAAACACGATAAATATTGCTTCTTGGACAGAAACAAGTGATAATGACTCTTTCTTTGGGGGACCGATCTGAGGACACTTAAAATGTTTCACGATTTCTCTGTGGAAATTCGATATACCAACTTGAATGCGAATGCAAATCTGAGAACTTAAAAACAAGCAATCAAGCAAACATAAACAAACTACATGCATATTGTCACTGGAATTGCAATAACTCTTTCCACCGAGCAACTTGATTCTTTCCTTGGCATTTTTTGTCAGTAGTGTCCCAGAGGATCACGGCGATGAAGTCTGTTAAAAGAGGAGTGAGGATGTTGGAAGAGTCTTCCTTTTTATCAAGCACTCAATTTATTTTTTTCTTTCTCCACTGAGCAGAATGGAAACGAGGAGGTCAGTTTTCAAACTTGTATAATTTTTGTGCCTGTTTTTTTATGAGGCTCATTTTCCTGTATTTAGACTATTTATATTTAATCAGGTTTTTAGCTATTTTGCGAAGATTCAGTTTTGTAACCTGTAAAACCAAAGAGCACAGAATTCACACGTGTAACATCATAATTTACAGAGCGTCTGAGTCTCAGGAAAGTAATGTGAACAGGAATAAATTTTACCTGAGTAATCAGCAACAGCAGAGAACAGAGAAAAAAATCTAACTGATCATGTTTTGGGGAGGAGCTGGAGTAATTTTTGCCATTATTTTTTGCCTGTGCAATAATATTTCCTTTCTTCTCTCATGAGGGCCACCTCATTTAGTGCCTCTTAAAGAGGACACTAGTAGAATTGAGTGAGATTTCCTGCTAACTCAAGTCAAACTTGATCTCTTTTTTTCTATTCTTCATAATAAGAAAGCAGTATAACTTGGAAGAAATATAATAATACAGCCAGTGATATAAGGCCCTAAGGAACCTCAGCAAATCGGGCCTACTGTGAGCTGGGGCTTGCTGTGGATGACTTGCTTGTGTGCTGCAAACTGAAGTAGGTAACAGAGAAACCATTTACACAGTAGAAACTCGACTACGCTTCCAGATTGTCTAGGAACTTCAGGGTGTCTGCTTCTGAGGGGGAAAGAGAGATTCTAGAAGCTTCTAGCAAACTCCAGCACTAAGGACCCATCGGCTATTCAAGGAGTGCTCTGACACTTTGCCAGTCGGACTCTCTGACCCATCAGACTTCAGATGACTCTTGACTAGTGGGTGTAAAGCACCCATTCAGCTAATATTAGGAAGAGGCTTCTATAACCGCCAGGCCTAGGCCTCAGCTCTGAAAATCTAAAAATTAATGTCCTAGTAATCAGTAGTTTCCACAGCAATCTGCACAGAAGGGTGAGCAGGCAGGGCTGGAAATTCTGCTGATGGCCATGTGCAAGTGCTCCACAATGCTGGTCATGGTCCCCCAAAACAACCATAATTATTACCCCTGGCACACAGAGGACCAGACCCTAACAGAGATCCCTAACTAGATCCCTTCCAGAGAGAGAATGTCTTGGCCTGCAGGGAGAGTCCATTTCTTCTGGCTAAGGCTGGGGCAGCAGAAGATGGTGTCCTTGCCTGCAGAAGGAATTCGGTTCAGTATCTGTGTCACCACACAAAGGAGTTTTGGGAGGAAGACAGCAGTACTGCTCTCTCCAGGCCAACCAGAGGACCACACTGATAGATGGGCTATTCATGAAGAAGCAAAAACTGGCTAGGGATGTGACATTCAATAGTATGGAAGCTGTGACAGAAATCAGATGCAAAAAGGCTATACTGGAGGTGGAAGCAGTGACAGGCTACTAAGGAAACGCTTAAAAACATCACTTGGGCACATACAGATGGCATCAGGACAAAACTCAAATGGAGTTGAGACTGGCAAGGGATATCCCAGCCCATGAGCTGAGCTTCCGCCTCTACACTCATAGTAAGAGGATAAGCAAGGAAAATGTGGGCCTGTTGTGAACGGTGTGGGTGATTTAGTGAGAGCAGATACAGATGAGGTGGAGGTACTCAAGGCCTTCCTGTCCTCAGTATTCCTCAAGAAGGTCTCCCAGGACTGGCTGCTTAGAGAATAGACCAAGAAGGTCATACCTGACCAGTCAGATTGCCTTTGGTGATAAAGGGACTGGATCTGTGAAAAGAGGGAGATCTGCAGGTGTTACTTACCTAAATTCAGCAAGGACAAATGAAAAGCCCTGCACTTTGCATCAGGTAAGCAACTCTGCAGAAAAGGACTTGGCACACAGCAAGTTGGATGTAAGCAAGCAGCATTGTCCTGGTAGCAAAGAAGGGTAACAGCATTCTGGGTTGCATTAACAGGAGCACACCCAGAGGCAAGAGATTATCGCTGCTTACTCAGCACTTGTTACAACACACCTACAGATCTGCATCAATTCTTCAGCTTTCAAATACAAGAAATATGCTCGTAAACTGGAATGGGTTCACCAGAGGGCCAACGAGATGGTAAAGGGGCTGGAACAGTATTATTATGCCTGTAATTCCATAGTCAATACACACATTAGACATCAGCATTTCAAAGTGCAACAGAAATTGTCTTTGAGTAGTTGAACCATACTGCAAAGAAAGAAAACAATCCCCAGAATCAAGGACTCCGTAAGGTGAATGAACATACAGCCTCAGCAAGAATCAGTAGATAGTCATAAGCTCTTGTAACTTTAATATCCTTAGAATTTTTACAGAAACTGATGAGCTTATCCACTGATTCTTTCACCAGTCAAGATTTTTAATGCCTCATTGGAGGAGGAGAGGCTGAAACGCAGCCAGAATGATAAGTCATTAGGCTCAAGAAATGGGTTATTTGATGTTGACAAATCATAGTCTGACAAGTCTTTTAAGCACTTTGCCATGAGAAAGCCAGTGAACAAAAGATCTTCACAGTCACTCCCCAACTCATTACAAAGTACTGTAAAGGATTCTACTATTTAAAGGTCTTGTTTTTATAAAATTAATCACATGGATGATTAATCCTGCAGCACTTCGTGTGCTTCTGGCTTCAACTTCTTTGCTGCAATAGCTTGTCTATGAACGATACTGTGAATGAATATCACATGCGATGCTAGCTCTGCAACTTCACCCTGGAATTCATTTTTTAAATTCCAGTCAAAGAAGCCACCCCGTCGCTGGTTCCACAGTTTTTCCATAAACTCTGCTTTTATCAAGTCATTTACCGTTGAGAATATATCTTCTCTTGTATATCTTCCCTCTAGTGGCTCACAAAGTAGTTCTTTGTCTACTTCATTATTGAAGAATTATCTAGCAAATACCTTAAGCTGAGACAGTTAGAAATATCTGTAATTTCATTCGGTTGTACCACAAACCTCCCACACCGCATAATTTGCTCTAGGATCTGTTTCTGCAGATCTTCAGCAATGTTTTCTATACTTCTTCCAACAGGATTTGCTGACGAAGGAATGCACTTTAGTTTGCTGCCATATTGTTTTGCACACACTATTTTACCCATTTTTGCCATCGCAGACAGAACAAGTGTTTCCTCAATGGTATGCAGCTTGTTTTTCGCTATTAAGCAACAAACAACAAGAGAGGATGCCGAAGATTCATCATTTAGTTTAGTGAAATTTTGTGAAGTACTGGATTGTTTATCACATGACTTGAAACACTGTTGAAAAAAAATGTAGATGTTTGCTTTCATGTTCTTGATGCTTTTAAACGTCTTGCTAATCATGATGGCTTCATACGACCATTAGTTAATTTCTCAAGGCACTTAGGGCAAGGTTCATTGTTAACTATTGTGGATGTCAATCCATATTTCAAATAGTCTTATTGATAACTGGTAATTTTGGGGGGTATTATTACCCCCAAAATATTATCTGTTATACTCTTATTGATAACTTTATAGACTTTGATAAGTCTTATTGATATTATAGTCTTATTGATAACTAGTAATTTTTTTGACAACTTATTGTCAGATTTAATTAGATTGTCATTGTTTTTACCTCAAAAAGTGGCTGATGGAGAGTCCCATGAATAAGAGAACTGGAGAGTCCCATGAATAAGAGAACCATCAACTCTGCCATTTTCTTTACGTTTGCTTGTATTGGCATTGTCAGTATTACCCACAGTTACTTTGCAGGTATCTTTTAAAGTCACTTGTTTATTTTATGAGTGGTAGTTCAATAAAAACTAGATGATATAACCTGTAAAACTACTTAACTGGGTACATGCAAACTGCAATGCATCACAATATGCTGAAAGCAAATGAACAGGACACCGCATCAACCCCTCTGCATTGTGGAGAGCCAACACTTCTCTCAGGACACCCTGCAAGTTGTACACGACTATCTGACACACAGACAGGGTGTCAGTGTCAAGTCATACAAAAAATTAGGAAGGTTTGATTTTTCTATTTTTTTTTCAGATAAAAAAATAAGTTTAAATGGAAGTTCTGATGTTTTTTTCATGCACCTCAGCGCAGTGTCTTAGGTACAGCCTGGGGTGTACGCATATCTCTTTGGAGGTCCTGCTCTAGAGTACTAGAGTACCAGTTTTTTTCAGTCCCAGTTTCCTAACAAAACAGTTTTTTACCCATGAACACGCAAGAACATCTCACACACTCTAATTGTTACTAAATCATGAATATGTACAGCCTGTTGAGAGAATGCATTTTACAATGCTTTGGAGAATAGGGAGATAAAGAAAACCAACATTCTACACACAAACTGTTAATAATGGTCTAGCAGAAACTGAATATTATTGTTCTAAGAGATTAGTTAGCATAATGCAATGCTGGAATTAAATAGAAAATAGATACAAAGATTAAACACCATAATCAATTAATAATTAAACAACCAGCAATGTCCAGCTTACCAAGTAAGGCTGCCCAGTGAAGAGGAGTTCGAAACAAGTTGTCATAAGATGTCACATTGCAGCCTTCGTAGGAGGTCAGAACATCAACAACTGCCACATTCCCATCAGCTACAGCAAAATGAAGGGGAGTTCGTCCTTCATAATCTTGCCAGTTAAGCAGAGATTCTGTAGGTGCAGCTTCCTTTAAAAAAATAATTAAAAAAATACTTAAGATGAAGAGAAAAACCATACACTCTTAACAGATATTTTTGAGTCTTACAATAGAGATAAGTCATCCTTGTTCAGTAGAATATAATTCCCCAACCAAATATTTTTTTTTTATAGCACAAACTATTTTCAAGTATTTCTTCTCGAATTTAATTTAAATACATACATAATTATTGTACAAGATCCGATTTTCAGTACATACCCTGTGGTATTGTCAATCTGTGCAAATGACCCCTTACATAGATACTTAAAAGACAATCCTCAGGCTCTTACGGAAATAACTGGATCTTCTTACTCGATTTTCTAAGTTGAGATATTTTGAAATATTCTACATATTTTTCTCCTAGGACAGTCCCCTTTTTGTACAAGTTAAACTTACAGTTTTCATTATTACTACATTTTTAGTATTTTAAAACTACATCACTATCCACCAGAGATGTTAAAGGTCTCTAGCTAACAGGATAGAAATAAGGGATAGTATGTCTAACGAACGTATCTACTTGTAACAACCTTAATTTTGAACATACAAAATGTTTAAAAGTATCATGATCAGTCATATGATCATACATGTATAACATAGGAATTCATCATATTTTCTTTAAAAATACACTAGATTACTTTCAAGTAAGGCCTGTATGTATATAGTTTCATATTACGATGATTTTTTCTCATTAGCTCTTTTCTAAACAGATTGTTCTTCCTGACTTTCTTTCTCAGGCAAATAACAGGTACAAATGAACATCATTTCATCACTACAGAGATCTACAATTGGAGAATATGATAAAGCCCCATGAAATATTAGCTGTAAGTCTTGTTTTCCAGGAAAAAAAGGAAAAAAAAAAAGTAGCTCTAAAGAAAACAGTAAACCAAACAATAGAAATTCAGGATGCAGGACACCAAGCATCTAGAGCAGAAGTAATATGTCAAAATGAGATTAAATAAACTATCGGGAGCAAGTCTGCTGTTTTATCTGCAGTGATTCAAAACAACTCACCGAAGTCGTGTGAATTCTGTGCAAAAGAGAAAAGGAACATAGTCCTGAGATTTTTAAACCATAATGACTTCCAACAATAGAGTGGGTCTCAAACCATGATAACCGAGAAAAATGATCATCCTGAAAATACCGTGCCACACCATGCCCCACTACATACTTATGAAACAGGAGGGAGAGACTGTGATCAGTGCAGTTTGTTAATGAAGCAAAGCAAGTTCTTGATTCTTTTCTCATTAAATTAATTGCAACTCTTCCTATAGACTTTATGAAGTACACAAATATGTTATAAAATCACTTGCATTATTTGAAATACAGCATTACATAGAAAATCAACATCTAACACTGAGAATGATAAATCAAGTGGCAAAAAGTCAGGATATGGTTTCTACCCCAATATTAATCTACCAAGTCTATACCTTCTATATGTTCTATTTATTAGATTAAACAATAAATACATTTGGAGTTAGTTACATTTCTTAAATGCAATCTGGCTACATTAATACTGCAGTAGTAACCTAATTTACAAAACCTTGATTCTTTGTATCTTGCTGTCTTACTTTCAGAAAATGTCAACTTCCTAATATTTAATTAATTTTTTTGAAGTTAAACATTTACTAACTTTCTACACTGCATGTAGCCACTATTTATGTTCCCCATTTCGCATATCTAAAAAATTTGATGCCATTTTTAAAATCAGTAGCATAGGCCATGTTTTGGGAGACAAAAAAATTTATATACTTGAAACATATTGTAGTTCATTACCAGATCTAGCCACTAGCACAATAACAGATTTTCTATTAAAAACCTACGAAGTAGACAAATGTGAATCTCTCACTAAAAACAAAATCAAAGTTAAAGTTGTTGTATGCACAAACCACAGTAATCCAAGCATGAATAGCACTATTCTAATAAGCATTCCAAAGCATTTATCTGAGCCATTACAGTGAAAAGTGAAGTCTTGTGCTCTTCCCTAGCTGTAATACTGCTCAAGAGAAAGCTGCTACTATGCTGATTTCCTCTCTATTCAAACTGCTCAGCAGGGGGAGTATAGAGCCCACTGCAGGAAAATCAGAAACAGTCTTTGAGAAGCACTTAAGAATGACTAAAAATGAATGAAGACATGCACAGTTGTAACTGCACCAGAGGAAAACCTCTGTTTGAAAAAAAAGGGGAATAAAAAAAAATAATCTTCTTTTCTTTACCTATAATTTCTTGTTGTAATCTAGAAAGCTAATGTTTGAACCTTCCAAAAAGCACAAGGACATATTAAATGAAAGACTCTTAAAACTCCTGGCTCAAAGCCACAGGTGTTTCACAGAACATATCCCTGTACTCCACAGCATCACTTTTCCAAAATGATAAGAAATCTTTTATTGACAGAGTCACTATTTACATTCTAGTCTAAAAGTACTCCTGTTTTTTGACCTTTTTGGCCACTTGAACAAAAATTTTGTAGGCCTCTCTGTGCTCGCATTCAAGAGCATAATTTCTCTGCATTATAAGAGCTTTATCTGTAAAACTAGCCATAATTAAGCTGTCACGTTACATTAATATCTTAAGCACAATGCACAGAAGAAACTGAAGCTACACATTCTTTCTTCAGCAATTAGAACAACGGAATGTAGGCAACAAAGGCAAGTGTTGTACAAATAAATGTCACGTCTCTTACCATGAAGAATAAACAAAGAGAAGAGAGATAAAACAGAGACAGAGCACTAAGCAGTTGCTTCCACCATATTAATGGCACCTTACTCTGTTCTTTTCTCCTTAAATCTTCACAACGTTTTTCATGTAACCAAGCACTGCTGAATCTGGAAAGGTGGAAAAGGAAGTTGACCATGAGAGGATCTCCAGATTACAGTTTCTCCCTACTTTGCATGTTTAATTCCTAAACATGTCATTGGCTCCATTTTCACTGTATGTCACAGATTTCAATATTAGGCATAACCAATTGTGCATAACTGCCACCCACGATAACTAAATTTACTTTTTTTTAGCATCAGTTGAGCTCTTTTCATCCTCGTTTATTTTTACAATCCTGATGATGCAACTACTGTACAAATATGAAACAGAACGACATTCCTTACTAGGAATTTAAAACCAGGTGACAACAAATGGATGCACACAGATGGCAGAGCACAGAAAATCAAGACAGTATTTTTCAGTGTCATAGACTACAGCTTCAATAAAACCAGCAGCTTAATTTTTGTCCAGGTTTTGTAAAGCAGCACTACACAACTCTGGGTAGGACATTAGAGAAAAACATTTTTTCTGTGGAATTCTTCCACGATGTTAAAGATAACGCGACAAAAAAAAAGCAATGCTAATTTTTTTATAACTTGGTCAACCAAGACTGCCAATGCAGGTTGACCAGCAGGAGACATCAATATCCAACTGCTATCTGAGCAACAGCACAGAGCTTACAGCTTACAGCACTCTATGATGAAAGCAAAGACAGCTAGCTTGTGTTGGATGTGACAAAAAATGGAGAGCAACAGTAGCATTGTCAGAGGCCTTTTGCACTACTATTACTACAAGGCTGTCCTAGTGAATTTAGAAATGCCATTATGTAAATATTCTGTGAAGTTAAGACACAAGGTGACAGAAATTGAACTGCGTGTTTGTATGTATTAGAAACATACAGGAAGAATTTGAGAGACTACAGAGTTAACCTGGATGTGAAGACTGGGGGAGGAATGAGAACCAAAGGTAACGCTTGGGCAATAGATCTGGAGCTGGGTAATATGATGAAAAATAACTGAGAAAGTCAGGGAGGATTGTGAGCTCTGCTTTAGCTGTGTTGACTTAACACTGCTATGTAGGTATCTATAAAGGTAAGTAAGAAAACCACATCTGTTTGGAGAGATGACAAGACCATACTAAAGGGTTAGACTTGGAGACCTCACCAAAAAAAAAAAAAAAAAAGGTATTTATACTTAACACCAAACTCAATCTACAGATAGATTACCTACTAACAATGCTTCTGAATCATCGACTTTCACAGGAAATCCTGTAAGCTAATTACTACTTCATTTTAACTTGTAATATACCACTCCCATCAATTAGCTTATACAGGTGGAATATAAACAATTCAGCTGATGCACAGAAAAAGGCTAGAGAGAAACGAGAATATGCTCTTTTAGCTGTCAGAAGGGGAAAGAAAGAAAGAAACAAAAAAATAAACACTTTACCATGGTCAGGATTCTTGATTACCTAAAAAGAATCTCTGAGAACACCTTGAGAAAGATGATAAATAATTTTGAACTTTCGTAGCGTGCCTGGCTGGGATTCAGCTAACTTCCTTAGGTGCTAGGCTTTGTATTAGCAACTCAAATAGTGTTGACAACACACCAATGTATCGCTGTTACTTACCAGTGCTTGTACCATGACAAGGCTTTGTCTTTCACACTCTACCCTGCCCTACTCACTATCTTCTCCCAGTGAGGAGGCTGGGGGTGAGCAAGAGATTGGGAGGGGACCCTAATTCCTTACCATACCACATCATGCTCAGCAGTAAAGGCTCAGGAAAAGAAGAAGGAAGGGGGAGATTTCATGGTTATATTTTGTCTTTCCAAGCAGCTGTTAAGCATGGTGAAGAACTACTTTCTAGGAGGTGTCTAACTTCTGCCTGCTGATGGGGAATAGTGAGTAAATCCCTTTCTAGGCTTTGCTTGAGCATGTAGCTTTTGTTTTCCCTACTAAACTGGCATCACCTGGATCCATGAGTAGTCTTGCCTTCCTCCTATTTTCTCCCCATTTCACAGGAGGGGAGGGAGCAAGTGGCTCTGTGGGTGTTTTGTTGGCTGGGGCCAATCCACTGCAACTCCTGAAGACATTTACCTTGACTATCTAAGGTTTGGAAAAGTCTAAATTTTAATCCAGCAGTCCGTATCTGCTTTCAGGCAGGTTGAAACAGATACAGAAGTCATTACAGTTAGCTTACAACCAGTGTGTGTCTAGTTATGAAAGTTATTTGAAAGACAGAGGTATAGGGAGATTGTTGCAGTATGAGAGGAAAATTTAACTGAGACTTCTGTATCTTTCCATGCTAGTGAATTCAGAGATTTTACAAAGAACAAAAATAGAGGTGGAAATCAAGCTCAGGACATGATTTCAATGTACTTATTATAGCAGTGTAGGAAATGGAACTAGAAAACCTGCTATCAAGGAAAGATTATTTAATCTGCACAGAAGAAATATTTGGAAAGTCCCTCAATAAACTGATCAAGGGCTGACTGATGAATGACCAACTGTTTCCTAGAGTTCTACACAACAGACAAGATTTGATATTCCACTACATTTAACTAGCAATAAACTTTCAAATAAAGAAGACAAGACACACAACATAGAATTCACCATGAAAGATGTAACTGAGATGGGTAATACGACTTGGACATTTTACCAAGGAGAACTTGAAGTCCCTTCCTCCTTCTCTCCCCCACAAAATGAACAGTCAAACACATCAAGCTAATTAAAAGAATATACATAAACCATGATTTAGAGCAAAGATATACACCTATAGAACTCCGAAGAACCTCCTGTCAATATAGCAGAAATATGTAAGACGACTTCTTTAAAGAATATCAATATAAGAAAAAGCAAATGATTAAATTCTCAAAGAGCCAGTGGATTCGAATGAAAATATTTCAAGAAAGGAAAAATGTTTTTACCACATTAAGTAATGAATAGCAAAAAGCCATAATAGATTTTCTTACCAGAATACATTTCACCGTGTGAATCGCGCTAGGGTCTTTGTTGTTAGCTGCCCAGTGAAGTGGGATTTTTCCTTCAATATCAGGGATTCCTATATTTGAATCATGTTTTATGAGAAGTTTGACGTGCTCTGGGTTATTGTAGTAGGCACTCCAATGCAATGCAGTTTGCTGGAACACAATATTCACAAGTTTTACAAACATGGTGAAAAATAAGATGAATATTCAAGTTTGTTAGAACATGAAATATGATTTAATTGTATTTTCACAGAATGAAAGAGTATTTGAGGTTGAAAGGGCTAAAAGAAAATGTCATTATCTCTACAATCTGGTTTGTGTAGCCTGGTGATTTGTTTTACTAATGATCAACAAATATTACTAAAGTACAGTTACTCACAACCCAAAGAATGAATGTTCTGAAGTTACACTTTGGGGGGATGTTGCAGATTGAGTGCAGTCGTGGAAGTGCTTCAGGTAGGTAAGACTGCTTAGAACAACGCTGTCTGTTCACTCCATATAAATCCTACAATTCATTAAGTTCTTGTGCACAACATGAATAAACCATAAACCTGCCCCAGATATTCTGAGCTGAGCTCAGTTCCTAAATGTCTGGACACCAGAGATGGAGGGTTATCAAATGATTAGCACTAAATATCGACACTGGACTTGGATTCATTTTGAGCAAAGGTTTTGACATTGTCCTTGATCACTCAGAAATCTATACATTGAGTATTACTGAATCTAATGTATTTTGACCAGTGGCAGTCCAATAAAACATCAAAAAAGTCATCCATGGTCCTACTGCTAATACCTGGCTGCCAGTGGCTTTTTACAGGTATTATCAATGTTCATAATTACATGAGCAAACCAATGTTTGTTGTTTTTTTTAAACAGTGAAATGCTAGGATATTAACAAGTAATTTATTGATCAGACACCTCTCCCAACTGACACGTAGCAGAGGGTTGTAAGAAGCAGAATGAATTTTATTTCTCCATCCCTCTTCCCTTGCCCGCATCCTAGCAAAATATTACGTGGCACTTTGACTTGAAAACGGAGAGAAGTAACTGCTGCAGGATGTTTGTGTCTAGGAGTGCGATACCCTGGATTGGCACCCTTGAATAATGTGACTGAATGTATGAGTTCAGTAGCCTATTCTTAACGTCTCTGTAGAGGAGGAAGGCAAAAAGGAGCCTATTCTTTGTGTTTGTTGCTTTAAGCTGTTAGCTTTGTGCCATGGTAACATAGTAGGATACTGCAACCTTTCTGTCGGCTTGGTAGTTCACGGAAGAAGAGCTCGTTCTGACGCATAACTGGAGGGGCTGCAAGAAAAGGTCTGAAAACTTACGCTGCATACAATTACACACAGCCTAGCACCGTAAAACACGCTCAAACCATCATAGCCTGTCAGGATTTGAACTGAAAACTTTTTAGCAGTAGAAACCTGTGAAAAGTGAACATATATTATTTCTTAAATGGAGCTGATCAGTATCCCTAGAAACTGACACACGCTATGAACACAGAGACTTTTGATTACCAAGAGACCAAAGCAGTCTTTCTTTACAGACTTCTCTCACTTACAACCTGCTTTTCAGCCAATTGCCTACATTTAAATAAAAGACACTCGTTCTCTCATGTTCAGGAATTATATTTGACAATCTCGATGCACAGAGTTGCAGTAAGGGAAATGAATAAGCGATGTACCCAACGGGGTCAAACTTGTTGGTCTCTATCCCCAGGAGTGCCTTTCATCAGCCTGAATTCCATCTCTGCTACTGTGACTACTCATGACAGGAACTGGAATAAAAGTGCTGTACATTTAGTGGAAAATCTGGCAACGCTTTAACACTGCTTTGGAAATCTGCTGAACAAAAGGCACGGTTCCTAAGCGGTTTTGGCTGGTCTCCAGATACCTTTGTTAATTAATTAATGCGGTCAGGAAGTCAGCACGGCCTCTCCAGAACGACTGCTGTAATTATAGCCAGGGTTTCCATGATACACGTTAGAATATCCTGGAAGGCAAACAGCTGATTGCTAGGGCACAGGCTGGTTCAACTCCATTGTCTGGAGGGGTCAGGAGATTCGTTTTTTGGAAACCGGCCTTGCAGATGTCTTATCCTGCTTCCTTCACGATAGGATTTCAGAGTTTAAATAGTAACACCACTAGAAAGTCCAGTCCTCTTCACTTCCTATGTCCTCTTGTGATAAAACTAAAATGTATTACATGAGATATGAATTATCATGTCCACTGAGGCCGGTCTTGCCAAACTGGTACGCTGAACAAGAGGTGATCCAAGTACACTTGGTCAGGGCACTGACATTTGAATAAGTGGTAGACTAAGGCCTGGTAGGAAGAGTCTTTGCATGAGTTCCAGGATCACTTTCATATTGTACAGAGGACACATTTCTTCTGAATGCTTAAAAAGCCTCTATCATCTCTAACAGCAGTATCCATGCCTACCTTGTCAATGGTAGTTCCTTTTTTTTTTTTTCCCTTTGTTTTCTATTTGTTGTCTACATTCACAGCATCTAACTTTTTGTTTCCGTATCACTGAGGAAAAACTTGGGCTCAGGCAACATTTGCATCTCTGAACTCAGAAGTCAGTGTGTTTCTAAAGCAGGCTGGTAACTCTACTGATGGAGTAGAGCATAACTTGACTTTGCAAAGGGACATCAGGAAACTCATGACAATATTTGCACTATGTATAGTGTATAACCTCCCACATCATTGTTCAGGAGTGGAATTCCTTTGGATTTCCAGACAGGTAATGAAGGAAGAGGAATCTCCATTTCACAGGTAGAGTTTTTCCAAGAAAAAAAGCAAGATAAGCCTATGTTACCCACATTCGAACAAGGATCAGACTGTTACAGAAAGACTTAGACCCTAAAACTCACAGAGTATGAGTCTAAGTGCTCTCAACATGACCGTCAGTGAACTAAGTACAAAGAACTTCTACATATTATCATCAGGAAAACGTTAATATTTCTAACAGTGATCACTGTAATACCCATGTTAGCCACTATTTCACATAGTCGGAAAAATTTTGGTAAAGTACTGCAATAATTTTTCACTCAAACTGTTTCATAATTTCTAAAGCTTTACAAGTGTTGTCTTTAAGTAGTATTTTTACCTTGTTTTTGTCCTGGGTATCCACTTCTCCAGGTGCCATGTGTTTTAACAATAAAGCTAAACATTTTGGGCTTTTGTGACGTGTAGTTAAATGTAATGGTGTCATATCCTCCAAATCCTTCTGCATCCAGTTCCCTCGACGAGCCAGTAAAAGCTTCATAAAGCGGTAATTTCCCTGGGTAAGGAAAAACATGAGAAATGTATTTCAGTTTACTAAGCCAAATGGTTATATTGTTTAGATATAGTTAATGTTGCATCACAGCACTTTAAAAAAACTGTAACAAAAAACATCAGCAGCTCTAGGCTGTGGAAACCTACAATAAATATTAAAACAAATGAATAAAGAAGCAGTGAAAAAAATCATGATTTTTAAGTTTGCTTTTCTATTTGCTATCAGATATATAACCTTCTGTAGGAGTGTGTGTAAGACCTGGCTCAGTAAGACGGAAAACTCTGCAATACTGTCAGTTTCTCAACAGTTTAATCTCCAGAAATACCCTGTAGAAACTGAAATAAAACCATTAGATATGGTTGCAGCAAGACAGACAGGTATCAGATGAAGAATATAACTAAACATGAAGACCAACTACAATTATTAAAATGAGAGGAAGGAAAATAACATGGAATGATTCAGAGAGAGAGAAAACCTACTCGTCTGAATAAGTAAAACATACAGGAAAAAAGTCACTGCTTCTTACATTTTTAAATAGAGAAGTGTACGTGAGTTTTGATCCATTGTATGCAGGATGAACGGATGGGACAGCTCGTCTTGTAACACTCATTTAAAATACCTAACACACTGGACTTCCTAGGTTTTCAAAAGAAATAATGTAGAAATGCTCCTGTGACCAATAACAGGGTGGATCCCAAAGAAAACAGTTTGGTTCTATTTCTCAAGACATTGAGGAAGCCTTTCAAAAACCGAAGATATAATCATGTAACCATTAAGAAGCTGTAGCAAACTAAGGTATAACCAGCCTTGATTTTCTACTGCCCCTTGCTTGGAGGCTTTCCCAGGTAGCTGAAATGCTACATAGGATATTTTGATGCTTCCACTTCAACACCGAGCCTATTGAGTTTTTCTGAACCCACCCTCACCAGTGAGTTTCAGTTGAGGAGCAGTAATAGCTGGAGTAATAACTTAAAGCAAAACAGCTAGATCTACAAAAGCTTGGGTGATCATGTTCTTAATGTCCCCACCCATTGCTACCTCACCTTTCCTGAAGAGAAAGGAGTGTGCTGTCTCACAGTTTTGCTCTCTTAAGATTTCCCCAAATACTAGCTTTTGCCAATTTCACATACGGACAAGTTAAAATATCAATTAACCACAAATTACACAGATTGACACACAGATCAATAGAAGTCATGTCTTTGGATTGTTTTGCTTATGAATGACCTGCAAATTAACATATTCCAGTCTCTTACAATACTTCCATACGTGGTACAGCAGCCAGAAAGATGGGAAGGGCAGATTTCACATGTTACTTTTTCGGTCTTTGTCTAATAAAAATGGATGAGTTGAGCTTCATGTGGGCACAGTAGACTTCACCAAGTATGCTGAAAATATATGTGATTTTTTTTCCTGCTACAATTTTTTATTTTAGAATACAAACCAGGGAAGACAAATCATGAACGAGCTCAGACAAAATGCCCTCTCCATGCTTCTACAGCTTGTTGTCATTGACCCTTGCTCTTCAGTGAAAGCTCTACAAGAAAAGTCTGCCAAAACTCATGCCACAAACCTGCCTGAAAATGCCAACTTCTGCTGCCAGAGACAACAGCACAGCTACTGAGCTCCTCAACAGCATTCGCAGCAAGTGCACCAAGTACTGAGTAACTTCTTTTTTTTTGGGGGGTGTGGGGGGAAGCACAAGGTTAGGATTCTGTTCTTTTAACACAAGACACACACCAAGGTACAACCATGATGTACAACTGCAGAAGTGCACGATGTGTGCGCAGCTACTAATCCATGCAGAACACGTTCAAAATGACTTAGTGAATCATTGCAGAATGAGTTAGGGATAAGGAAACTTCTCATTATTACCACCATACTTTACAGGTAAATATAAGAAGATTTGGAAAACTCATTAAAAAGAAAAAAAAAATAGCTAAAATTGCAGTGTATCATGCTGCGGTTGGGAATTAGACTGGGGAAGACAACACTAAATAACTTGAGAGAATATTAGTCTTGGAAGAAATATAGTTGCTATTCTCCATCACAGAGGATAATACATTTGTTTTATTTTCAGTATTTCCTACTCGATGTCCACGCATACATGTGAAAGAAAAACACTTGATTTTCTCTTGTTGATGGATACTTATTGGAAGATTTACAAATACACCGTGCTTTTAGCATGAATTCAGCTGATAAGAAGGGTGAAAGATAAAAGAAAATACATAAAACTAAGGAAATGTACATTTTTATTATTAGAGTTTCGTTCTCTGTACTCTTATTTTATTTCTGCTGTTACCATTTTTCCACAAGTTACTACTATATTATTCTGTTGCATGCTTAGCTACCAACAAATCCCCCTCCTTAGGAAATTAATCTTTAATAAATCCTTTCATTCTGAAACATGAAAGACACTCTTTCTTCCAAATGATTTAAGACTATTTATTAAAACATCATCACAGACAACACCAATGTAAGGACAACGTCCTTTTACATTACTTAGTTGCAATGATTTTATTCTTACCCTTATTTCTGACTGCTGCTCTTTTTCTTTAGTAATACCATAAATGTTGCCGTGTTTCTTTCACCTACTAGAAAATAATGCTGTCCTTATTAATGGCAAAGGAAAAATTCCTCACCTTCAACTGATTTTATAAATATATAATAGATGTGGGTTGAAGGCAGATTTAATTTAGGTTTTACTAGGTGCATGGGGGAAAAGTATGCTTAATCTGAAAAGCGTTTAGTAGCCCATTTGCTTCATTTTTATTAAATCCTTGTCTATCAAGCTTGAAGCTTGCTACCTTTCACTCAGCAGACACACCTGATCGGCCTCAAGATTGCAGAGCATCATGAAGCACTTTGGGCCAGTCTGTGGTGTCTTAACATTGCGAGTCCCTCTAAAATGATTGTTATACTATGTGAAAATATTATGGTCAAACAAACAGAAGACTCAGTTCTTGATAGCCAAAGTTTACTATTCTAGTGCTGATTATTAAAATTCCTCCATATTTTACTAAAATTATTTCTAGTCCAAACAGTCAGCTCTGTATGCAAACTACAGTACAACTCCAGAAATGCTGACATCTAGCTTCAGCATAAGATTGGCTGATCAGAAGAAATATTTTTATTTCAAAATTTCAGCCACTTATACTAACTGTGATGGGGTATAACAGGTTTTGGTAGACAGATAATGAAATAAGCTATCTTTGCTCTGCAGTCAAGCAATGACTGCATAAAGGTTCTGTACCCCGTGCTTAACAGTGAAGCAGTCAGAGTTTCCTTTCTTGAATATTTCAGTAGAAAAAAAAACAGCTGGAGAAACATCTTAGAATTAATGAATTTATCAGAATTCAGATTATCCCTGGCATTGAAGAAGTTATCCCCAAAACCACAAGTTCATTCAGAAAAAAAATAAATACATATATATATATAGTCTGGTATTTTCATTGAGTCTACTTCCAGGAACAAGTTTTAGTGGAAAATTTCCAGTGAACTCTTATCTACCTACTTTTCTAGGCCTCTGATACAACGGATATGTTTATTTTCTCATCTATTTAAAGGATCTTTTTCAACCTAGTTTCTCCCACCGTCCTGTCGAGGATACCAGCTGAGTGAGCATCTGGCCCAGGCCAACCCAACCGATACGGTCACCTAAGTGAAGAAATAATGAAAAAGCAGGCTCTGTACTAGTAACATTGGTGCTTTAATTCATGTTGTAGGTTAATCCTGACATTAATGATGGCTGTATTACCAACGGGATATCTGACGTGACCGAAGCTAACAGGGGCACATGGAGTACAGGTCAAGAGAGAGATCCCTGCAACACTGCGAAGCCATGTTAACATCCCAAGACCTTCTGGATCAGGTTTCAGCCCCCCAAACACACAAGCTGATGCAGCTTTCTCCTGTCCCACTGTCCTAAGCAGTTCAGCAGTACTGCAACATGTAGAACAATCACTATTTTAGTATTACTTTTGGGAGGTTTTACCTATAGGGCATTACCTATCTCCACTAGCTGGCTCTGGTAGTAGGTAGCACATAGGCCAACCAAGCTAGCATGTATAAAGCACTATCATAAAAATACAGCTGTGCAAATACAGCTGTGCAAATATTCCAGTACTCAAAATAAAAAAGAATTTAGCAGATGTTTTTGTTCCCCACACGATACCTAGCAGCGCAGGAAATATACAGAGTTGTTAATGGATTTTTTTTTTTTTTTAATTTACCTTTCCAATAAACATAGATAATGTAATACTTTCCAAGAGGCATTGATAAAGCCCGAATCTTAGACTAACACAGAGCTAACAACAAATTACTGTAGTTAATTCTGCTTTCTGTGATAGCCGTTATCTTTCATGTAAGGAAATGCTTCCAGAAATTTCTTAGCACACAGGAAGGAGTGTTAACCTCCTTGGCAGGTGACCAAGCAGTCTCTCCTCAAGCGTGAGACATCACACACGTTTCCTCTAAAAACCACAGGAGTGAACTTGCCAGCAGAGAGGTCACACACAGCAGCACTACACTGCGATCGGTAGGAGCCTCGCAACGTCAGCAGTGGATCTCTCCTCCACTAAAGGGAGAGAAAAGAACAACAACTGCAATTGTACTTACTGGGAACATCTCACTGCCTCTCCTTCTCTTAGCTGGCTAAAATCCGATGCTTTTCTGAGTCAGGATTAAAAAGAAGCTGAGTATAGTTCCTGTAAAATGTATACAACTTTCTTTCTGTGAACTGAAAGTCAAACAGGGACACTTAAGGTAACACTATATAAACCACATAAATGTGAAAACCGGAATTGCTGACTGTTGTTTTGTAAAATAAAACACCACCCGAAGCATAGGAGTCATTATTATCTTAACACCATGATTGTGTATATTGAAGCAGTTTCATCACAGATGTCTCCTGGATATTCATAGTCAGAAGAGCATGCGCACCTCTTCAGGCATCAAAAGCACATCCACAGATATGCTACCATCACCTCATCATCAGCAGGTTAAAA